GTGATCCAGGGTATAGGCTCAGTCATCAATAACACAGGCCTACTTTAGTGGCTCATTGATTGGTTCTGATGCTATTCCTGCTCCTTTGGTGGAAGAGTCTTATTTTAGCCTCAGATAATGATTCAGGGCTGCAAAAAGAGCAGAGAGCCTTTTATGTGTTTGTTAAAATAGACAGAAGAGGGGAGAGAGGGTGTTACCTAATGTCCCTCAAAGTGAAGTCATCTGTCAGAGCAGCAGTGCGCCAATGCAGCACTCTGGAACTTCTATATGCATTTGGTTAATATAGTCTTTCATCGTGTCTAAGTTTAGTCCCTTTTTAGTCCTGTTTTAGTACAGTTTGAAGTCTTTGTTCAGTCCTGTTGTACATCTAATTCATAAAGATCTTAAGTATGAAAGATATATACATAAAGCTGTTTGGACTTTTAACTTCTTGGGTTCTTTTTTTAAAAAGACAATACAGCAAAGTGTATTTACCTTGTTGACATGTTTCGGCTGCTAACTACAAGCCATCTTCAGAACAGTCCTGAACAGTTCTGAAGAAGTTAAAGTACATAAGAAGTCAAAATTAACTTACCTTATTATTATCTTTGGTGCTTTTTGGACATACTTTAAAGGTAGCCAAGCTGGGTCCATCTAGTGTATTACCACATGACATCACAAGGTGGAACAGAGTGTTTTCTGTTTGAGAGCCTAAATATGCGTGTTAAACATGTGTGACTGAAACAAAACACAACTCCAGGTATGTTTGTGATGAGGAAACAGCATTATAACAGATCAGAAAATAGCATAATAAGGGCCCTTTAAAGAGCACTATGGAACTTTTCTGGTGTGGGGATCTATCAACCTGTTGTCTCCATGGAGATTTTGTTGCTTTGCTTGGAATGTGTGCATTGCATTTATTCAATGACATTTACCTTTACCTTATACCTTACCATAAAAAGTCTACAGGTTTATTATGAGTGAGCTCGCCTCCCCAAAGATCTGACCTGGAACTGGCTTGGCTTCATCACTTGCTTGTCACCATGAAAATAGTTTAATGTTTAATGCCATACTGTGGAACATTCGGGGTAAAGCAATAACATTATTTAATCGCTGCCTTGAACACAACTCAAATCAATCAATCAATCAATCAAACTTTATTTATAAAGCGCTTTTCATACAAAAACGTAACACAAAGTGCTTTACAGTGATTAAAAACAATCCCGCATTTCCATCCACCCACCCACTTATCCAACCCCACACCTGCCCAACTCCACACAACCAAACAACCCAAATAAAGCCTAGCCACTTATTTTGCACCATGAAAAAGATATTTATTTCTTCCTTGCGGTGCAGAAAAAGCAGAGTTTAACATTGAGCAGAGGGAGAGTTAAACATACAGCTTGATTAAGATGAGAGGGAACAAAACTGTAATTCCACTTAAACTGTGTAAGAAAAGGTGAGTAAGCACAGTTCAAGTCAATGGAGCGGCTGAACGAGCTGCTGAACAGAGGCTCTTGAGCAGAAGTAACACTCAGGTATAAAACATAGGCCCTTAAAGCCATTCAAGCACACAGCCTTTATTTGAGCTCACTCCAGACCTGCGCTTGAAGCTGCTAATCACACACTGCTCAAGTCCATTATTATTGTTAAACATGTCATTTTCAATCTTAGTCACAAGCCCTTGAGAATACATTACTACTATTAAGGTATTATGACAGGTCTAATTGGAGACTGAATAAACTGTACTTAGGCTTTGCAAAAGTTTGTTTTGCTGTATGACACAGAACAGATGATTCTCAAAAACATCTGCAACAGGTTTGACATTGATTTAAAACAGATTAAGCATTGACAATTTGTTTAATAACGTTTCATAATGTTTCCTCATTATTTTTATGCTGGATTGAATCTTTTATTTTAAACAAGTAAAGATGCGCACCAGTGGTGGAAAGTAACAAAGTAAAAGTCGTAAAATACTGTAAATTTTAGGAGTCTGTACTTTACTTAACTACATTTTAAAATACTAAGATACTTTTTACTTTTACTTTACTACATTTGAGAGCAGGTATCTGTACTTTCTACTCCACTACATTTTTTAACTGGTCTGAAAAGTAAAGTAAAGTATTTTTTATTATTTGTTGAAGACCGGATGAAAAGATTATTCATGACAGCAAATAAAAATATAAAAAAAAAAACAGCTAGTAAACAAATATCAAATTAATTGTTTCTATTGAACAAAATTCAGCACAAATCTTTATCAAAATGATTGTATCTGAAGCCTTATTAGACCTCAAAATATTAACAAAATACTATTACTTTTTACTCTTTAAGTACATTTTAAACAGGTGCTTTAATACTTTTAGTTGAGTAGAATTTTTCATTTGATACTTTTACTTGTACTTGAATATTTTTAAGTAACACAGTTGAGTACTTCTACTACTGCTGAATGCAATGCAGGTTTTCTGAGGATCTGCCACCTGCTTTTCTTAATAGAGATGTTTTTTTTTTTCTAAGAATGTTCCAGAGTATGGCTTTGAATTTCCACATATTGTATTGATTAAGTTAGGTGTTTTTTTTTTTTTTTATTACACAAGTACATTGTAATAACATCCTTTCTTAGGGTGAGCAGGCTTCCCTCTCCAGAGATCTGACCTGTAACTTAGCCTGATAGTGTTATGCAATCAAGCTTAATGCCATACTGTGAAACATTCCAAGCCAAGCAAAATACTACATCTCTATGGCGACAAACAGGTGTTGGACCTAGCACTAGAAAAGTCACATACACCTTTACTCTGTCTTAACAAGTGAGCTCTTATAATACCTTATTTATTTGAATTAGCTTGAGTAATAGTAGAGCATTACTGCCAAAAAATCTCAAATCTAACCTAAGTACGGTATTATGTATCCTCCTGCTCCGTCCTTCTGTCTTTTCTGTTATTTTCTTCTTTCTCTATCTCTCTCTGTCTATCTCTAGACAGTCTACTCTATATTTAGTTGTTGTTCTCTGGGGGTCCTCCATTCTGAACCCAGTCTGGGCCCATTCACTGAGACTGTGCTCCAGCCTGACAGCCTCTCAGCGCTGGCTCCTTATCTCACATTTTGGATTCTTTTTTAGATCATTGCAGACTAGACTCACCCTACGTCACTACGAACTCCCAGCTCAATAAGAAGTGGAAACTGTTCAGGGAATTTGTATTTTCTCAGTCTTAAACTCAGACAAACTTTATTAAAAGGTCCTCTATTACACAAATGTTACTATTGTGAGCTTTAAATCATGTTTTAATGCATTTACCTCCTCAAAAACATAACCAGAGTTGTGTTCTATTTTATTCACACATGCTTGAGTAATCCTGCATTAAGAGTCTACATCTCTCTACAAGCTCAAATTGCTCTGCTCCGTCTTGTGATGTTATGAAGTGGTAATTTTCATGTTAACAGCTACTTTTTACCTTTTGTTGTATAGAGAGGCAATTCCAGACCTGAAATGATCCAAATGATTCTATTGAAGGTGCATCAAGCCCCGGGGTTTCAAAATGGCCGCCCATTCAAGTCAATGGGCCGAGCTCAGTGGAACATCAGTGGACTCCAGATTAGCCTCACCTGCCTAGGTACTTCTGGTGGATGTGGGCCGACCGAGCATGTGCAGTAGTGCTGTTTTCTACCGCGGACAGACACGAATGCACGCGAGAGCACGCCGTCTTATGTATCACGTGTATCACATTTTGACCAATCAGAGCCAAAGCTAACGATTATAAACTGTTTTTTAACAACTGAACAACAACTGAAGGATTTTGAGCTGAGAAAAAGTTTATGATATAAAAATAGGTTAAAATCGCCACAAAATCTGACATTTTTGAAAGTTGTAGGTGCCCTGTCAACTGAACACGAACAGTTTGTGATTACATTGCCCTCTATGAGAAAAATCCTCTTTCAGCCAGGGGATTTTTTTTCCATCCATGAAGTGCATGGAGTTTGAAAATACAGTGGAGCACTTCTTGTATGACCACATGACATCATAAGGTGGATCAGGGTGTCAGTACAAATATGCACGGTTTGTGTGTTAAACATGTGCGAATGAAACAAAACACAACTCCAGGTGTGTTTGTGATGAGGAAACAACATTATAACATTTTAAACATGTGGAATTATAGTAGCTCAAATATGAATTTTCATAAATACAAAATAAAATATGTCAAAAGTAAAGTAAGTACCAAGACAAAAACAAAGCATGTATTAGGCCTAAATGGTTAAAACCAAGTAAATTGTAACATTCATTTAAGTGCAAACAATCGTGGTAATATAACATGGTAAAGCAAAGACTAGCAGGGTGATTAAAATGAGAAAACCTAAATATTTTATATTGTAATGTAGTAATAAAAAATATGAATTACCCTCCTCTCTCATCTTTATCATCCTTGTAATCCAGCTGGCACGTCTTTCATTTCCTCTATCCACACCTCCGCTTCACCATCATCATTTGGCCCGGGGAAAGATTTTTTTATTATAAGATTATTTAAAAACAATCAAACTTCTGTACTCAATACTTCATTTCACCACCTTTTTAAAAAAAAAAATCTCATATGCTTCAGAGCCAAAAAAACCCACAAACCTCCTCAATCATCTTATTGGTTGTTCAAATTCAAGAATGTGATGATGTCTACTGATTACATTGTATTTTGCCATGAAATATCCAAAAGGTAAATTAAATCGAAATATTTTAGTGACTTAACCCAAGAACTCACTTATATTAACATTTATTTTAGCTTCCCCCCTCTGTATTACATATTATTGGCCTGTAGGATGCTGTAATGTCACCTGAAACATAGCAATTGACACATGGTAGTTATTTTTATTTATTCAGTTTGTGACATCTCTTACTTGATTTGGGAATCACAGGGTAATCAAAATATTGTACATGATACTCTGTTATTTCTTTGTTAAACCACTATTTATACAAAGTTAATATGAAGTTGTGTCCGAGTGTCTGGTTGTAACGTTGCCGTCTCTTCTGTGTTTTGCAGTGGCCCATGCGCAGGACACTCAGCAGCAGCAGCACTCCACAGAGAAGCCCCTGATCCAGTGTTACAAATGTGGACAGCCGTGTAAAGGAGAGGTGCTGCGTGTCCAGAACAAGCACTTCCATCTCAAGTGCTTCACATGCAAAGGTACACAGCAGACTGAGACTCCGGGTTTATATGGTAACACAATATATATGACAAAAGGCAGGATTATTTACAGTGGTCCAGTTGTAAATAGTGGCTCATTAAAGGTATAACCAGTGGCTGCGGTTATGAGCTCACCAAAATGACTCAGAATCAGAAATCTTTATTGAATACCACCATAGACTGTTATATAAATGGACATTGCTAACCCACTAGATGTTCCGATTGAACTTACATTGAAAAATTGTCACTCCTCTTTCTGAAACTGTTGCAGTGAGCCTCGTCATTGTGGTCTTAAAAGTTTTGTTAAGCCGCACTACATGATCCTGATGTTTTTATTTCACTATTTTGTCTGTAAATAAATTCCTAATATGGAACTCTGCTCCAAAGTCGCCTTAGTGCACTTCATTTGACTGGAGCCGAAAACTTTGACTACGTTCAGACTGCAGCCTAAAGTGACCCAAATCAGATTTTTGTGCCCCTATGCGACCTGTATCTGATCTTTCAATGACAGTCTGAACGACACAGATCTGATTTTTTCAAATATGACCCAGGCCACTTGGATATGTGCTCCTAAAACCGATACATATCCGATCTTTTAACATGCGTCTTCAGTCTGAATGGCCAGGTTGCGAGTTTATTAATATTTGGGGGGATCATTGTATTCAGGCCAAATTGGAGGGATCTTATCAGAATTTGGGCGGTTTTTGAAACGATTGCAAAAGACATGGCTGAGCGCAGCTACAAGTGGTCCTGGCTCCAATGTCAACAACAAAAAAAAGAGCCTGCTAGCCAAATACAAGGAGGCTAAAGTCTCAAACAAACGAGGCAGCCGTGGACGTGTAACCTGTCCATTTTACGAACAACTGAACTGTATCTTGGGAAACAAACCCAGCGTTTAGGATACTTCTGTAAACACTGAGCAAGTTCACTGTATGTGACGTCGTTGTGTCCTCCAGTGCACATGCAGACACTTTTGAGGTGTTTAAAGTTCACATACAAGTCACATTTAATTGGAAATGTGAATGACCTCGCAAAAACATCAGATTTCATAAAAAAATCTGAATTGAGCATTTAGCCCTGCAGTCTGAACGTACCCTATAAGTGACGTCAGACTCCCTTCGTCCACTTCTTTTTACACTCTATGATTTTCACACAACAAGTTGGTGGAGTTTGTTTTCGATATAGCAAGAAATGCTCAGATCTTCTTCAGTGTCAGTTACATAACACAAGGGGCAGACAACATACAGTACATAAATAACAGAACACACAGTTGGCAATGAACATGTCAAAAAATTATATTAATATCTGATTTCTACACCTTTAACATTATGTAAAGGACATGCAAACGGCACAGTCTGATGTGTGTAATCAAAGGCACTATGACCAGAAAGAAATCGGATGAATTTGCTGTTTACAGTTCATTTTAAGCTAAAAAAAATCTAATAATAATCAGATTTTGAGTGTGATTAGAACACTCATCCACCAACCCAAAGGTCAGAGGTTTGATTCCTACTCAGAGTAATTTATGTCATTGTGTCCTTAGGCAAGACACGTCACCCATATTAATGTGGTATGCGTGAGCGGGCAACTGACTCTAGAGTAGTTGCTTACCGTCACTGAACAAGGAAAGAATAAGTAATTACTTTTTTATGAGCAATAAAAATGGAAAGATATATTAATGTAAAACTACACTGTGGCAAGGCAGTAATATTTCCAGAGAGTCAAGCATGTAAAAGCCTCCAAAAAAAAAGTACATAATGCGCCTATAAAAAAGGTTGGAAAAGTGGCCTCTTAGTCAAAATAAAATAGTGACAATAACACAGGATTTGCATAACAAGGTTGTGTTTACATCCTGACATTAACCATATGATTTGCACCATTTTTGCTTCATAAATGTGTTAGTGTTAATAACAGCGCTGGGATCTAAAGAGGGAGGTGGGAGGGTGTGAAGATTAGCAGCTTCAGTGTTAGATTTTAAAATTCATTGTTAATTTGACACAATCATAATAGTATGATATAACTATTTCTCACTTTCCTTTGATAAAATTACAATCAAAATGGGAGGGCCATTCAGAAATAGCTTTGTGAAATAGGCATTGATTCATTGATTCACTGACTGCTTGTGTGCGATAATGTTAAAATGTGTAAATGTTATCAGTATGCTGGAAATTTTGATGTTTTTGTCAGAGCACATGTTTAGCCGCTTACACAACTAATTATGAATCACTAATACCGACAGATCATTGACAGGTCACTCAGTGCAGATTTCCAATATTTCCAACTTTATATATAGCTCAATAGGGTTGTAACAGTAACCAAAATATTGTGATACTGTATATAACTTTATTTACAGACTGAGGGTCTAAAGCGTACACAGAAGGACACACACCCACAATTATATATAAACCCACCAGCACACACACACATACATACCCACATACATAAAAAAAAAAAAATAAAATACAGTTACGTAAGGTTTGGTAGAATTAAAATGCATATAGCTGGCTCTTCCAACATTTCCAGATGTCAGAGTAATATTAAAACTTTCCCTAATATCAGTCAAGCACATAGTAATTACAATTTTTTGATTCATTTAACCTACACATAAATTAATACATGAGGTTTGTGTTGTCAAAGTTCTCACAATAATATCGTGGACCATCACAATATATTGAATTACAAGTTTCTTTACTTAAATTCATTGTTACGGTGCGTCGACATCTAAAAAACAGACAGAACTACATAGACCATGATCCTTTGCTCTGTTTTAGTCCAGTCTACATGATTAAACAGCTGTTATTAAGCACTTTTAAATCTTAATTATTTGGATTATGACAGAATTTTGTTAGCTTCCGCAAAATATCACAATAAATATCGTATCGTAAGATGCATATCGTGAAAATATCTTATACAAAGATTTGGATATTGTTACATCCCTATAGCTCAATAACTTATTCTAATTTCAATTGCAGTTTACTTACATCACTGCCAACAAGTTTAATTGAAATGTGTTAAAAAGTATCTAGTATCACATTTTGGGGATTAAAATCTGTGTAGACACTCAGTCCATGGAATCCCGCTCTCGACATAAACATCATTGGTTGAGCGGTCTGATCCACAGACCCAGAGGTTGTTGGTGCGATTTCAGCTTCCACAGATGAATGCTGTTGTTTGGTCCTTGGGCAAGACACTTAACCCACCTTGCCCCCAGTGTCTTTGTACACTGGCGTATGAATGTGTGTACGATAATGGGTGAGTGGTTCCTTGATGTAAAGCACTTTGAGCATCTTGAAGGCAGTGGCAGTTCTAGAATTTTTTTGAAACAGGGGCCATTAAGGTGCCACGTGTTATATTCAGGGGCCAAGTACAAGATACATCCAAGCACACAAATGATTAATCCAGTATGGTACAAATACAAGCATAGACAGTAAAAAAAAAAGCGCTCCACATGTCTGTTTCTTCTCACATTAAGTTGTATTGACACAATAGGTCTTCTGCCGCCAAGAGTTTGGGGGTGGAATTGCATCAATGATCATTGAATTCTCCAGTTGTTCTTCTTGTCATTAGTTTAACAGAACAGGGGCGCTTCAGGGGCTACTCAGATTAGAAGTGGGGCCAGTTCCTTGTGGCCCCTTCCCTAGAACCGCCCCTGCTTTGAGGTGGAAAAGTGCTATGTAAAAATGTGACTATTTACCACTGTGACCAAGTACCAAAATCTTAACCTAATAAATTATAAAGCATCACAAATACTCAAATTAGGTAATTGTATTGGTATACTTTTAACTAATAATGTTATTTACACTTTGATGATAACACTAACAACTGTGTGTAGTGTGTGTAGTGTGTAGTGTGTAGTGTGTAGTGTGTAGTGTGGTCTGACCCTGCAGCTCTTGTAGTTAATCTGTGATTGGACTTGTATAGTACGCTGAGAGTTCAAAATAAGAGCACAGACAGAGATTACAGGCCTAAATCTGGACTGGAGGAGTGACGAGACCAGAGCAGAGATGCAGAGATGAAGAGGAAGTGTGAGAGAAGTGTGGAGCTAAAGTTGCTAAAGCTGAAGTTAATGCTAATATAAAATGTTCTGTCACAACTATTTATAGCTGTACATGACAGAGCTTTCTAACGATAAGTGTGGACAAAACCAAATGTCAACATCCTTGTGTAACTTTAGAGGGACTCATATCTACCCACAGCTTTTATTCACGCTATACTATTTAAAATCTGGTCCTATATTACACAACATTAACTCTTGTGCCATGTTATAATGTTGTGACCTCCTCAGACATTCCTGGAGTTGTTTTGTTTCATTCACACTCTTTATTCACAACATTTTTTGTCTTTTTGGTCTACATTTCAAACGATCATAATGCCCTGTTCTACCTTGTGATGTCATACAGAGGTACTTTTCTAGTCAGCAGCTCCTTTTACCTTTTGTTCAGTAGAGATCGGCAATTACAGATGTGAAATTATCCAAATTATTCTAGTGAAGGTGTACGGTGTAAAACACTTTAGAGTACCACATGACATCACACAGGTGGAACAGATATTTTTGTTTTAGAGACCCTAAATATGCAGGATTTGTGTGTTAATCATTTATGAATGAAACAAAATACAACGCTGGAGATGTTTATGATGAGGAAACAGCATTTTACTAATAATGTAATATGTGCCCTTTCATGATATGCTCTATATTTGAGATTTATTTTGTTATTTGACATAATTTTACTAACATGCTTTCAATCAATAATGGTTAATACATTTAATAAAAGCATTTTACATAACGTATGTATTGCAATAAATATATTTCTCCAATCTGGCAAAGGATCAATTCAATTTGTCAACTGGACAACCATTTATCCAGTCGACAAAATGAGTTTCTCCTTTGCCATAGATTCTACCTGGATGATTGAAGGATTCTATTAGGGGTGTGCATCGCCATAAATCTGGCAATATGACGTATCACAATATGCATGTCACGATTCAATATATCCCAATATATCCCAATACTAAAACAAAGGACAGTGTATTTTGATTTATCAATAATTACATATAATATTATAGTTGAGGACACATTCCTGAGAAAAAAACTTGATGAAATATAGGACTTTAAAGGACTTTAAAATATTGATTCGAAAGCATTTTGAATCGATATGAGAATTGCGCAATGAAGTATCACTATATATAACTGAATTGATTTTTTCTTACACCCCTAGATTCTACACACATCTCTCCAGTATGTTAATAGATCATTTTAATTTAGCAGAAGTGGTAGTTACATTTAGAATTCCAATAGGTTTCATTCACTTAAAATCATTCATCTGCATTGAAAAAGAGTAAAAGAGACACTCAACGGAGGTAAAATTGATGAAATGCAGTTCAAAATTCCATTCAAATGTGTAATTTCTAAATTATTCCCAAACATTTAAGGTTATTTATTTTGATGCTCCACATTTTGAGATAAAAGTAGATGGCCTGAAAACCTACATGTAACTAATGCATTTGAATAACCACTTTATCCCACCACTGTCCTCCTTCTTTCACTTAAAGTTTATTTTAATAACTGGACCCTTTAAGGTTAGCCAAAAACGTACTTCAAATTAAGATAACGTCCCACATGTGTCCAGGAGTAGAGGTGTCTATTAGCTTACAGACTAATCCCATCAGCCCTGCGCTCTGATACAGTCAAAGCTGATTCCCTCCTCGCTCTCTCCATTCATCCAGGATTTAACGTTATGTAAGAAGAATTACACTCTTATCTCCTAAATCAAAAATTCCACCTCCTCCTCCTGGTGTTTACAGTGGGTAGTGTACTTTGCAGCGCCCTGAGACCCCTCTCCGGATACGGATGTTGCAATAAGTGCATTTTATACTGAGAAAACATTTTATGAAACTGTATATAAAATAGGTGGTGGGGGTAGTAGTAGTAGTAGTAGTACTTATTGTTGTAGCCTAGTGTTTGTAGTTATAGTCGTCGCAGTAGTTGTTGTTGCTGAAATAAAAGTAGTTTATGTAGTAGTAGGAGAAGTAGCAGTAGCAAAAGTAGTAGTAGAAGTAGTAGTGGTAGTTGTTGTATTAGTAGTAGTAGTAGTAGTAGTAGGAATTGTAGTAGTAGTAGGAATTGTAGTAGTAGTAGTAGTCGTAGGAATTGTAGTAGTAGTAGTCATCGTAGAAATTGTAGTAATAGTAGTAGTCATAGGAATTGCAGTAGTAGTAGTAGACATAGGAATTGTAGTAGTAGTCGTAGGAATGGTAGTAAGTAGTTGTAGGAATTGTAGTAGTAGTAGTTAGTAGTAGGAATTGCAGTAGTAGTAGTAGTAGTAGGAGGAGGAGGAATTGCAGTTGTAGTAGTAGTAGTAGTCGTCATAGGAATTGTCGTAGTAGTAGTAGTAGTTGTAGTAGTAGTAGTAATTGCAGTAGTAGTTGTAGGAATGGTAGTAAGTACTTGTAGGAATTGTAGTAGTAGTAGTAGTAGTAGTAGTAGTAGTCGTCATAGGAACTTTAGTAGTAGTAGTAGTAGTTGTAGTAGTAGTAGTAGTAGTAGTTGTAGTAGTAGTAGGAATTGCAGTAGTAGTTGTAGGAATGGTAGTAAGTTCTTGTAGGAATTGTAGTAGTAGTAGTAGTCGTCATAGGAATTGTAGTAGTAGTAGTAGTAGTTGTAGTAGTAGTAGGAATTGCAGTAGTAGTTGTAGGAATGGTAGTAAGTACTTGTAGGAATTGTAGTAGTAGTAGTAGTAGTAGTAGTAGGAATTGCAGTAGTAGAAGTAGTAGTAGTAGTCGTAGGAATTGCAGTAGTAGAAGTAGTAGTAGTAGTAGTAGTAGTCGTCATAGGAATTGTAGTAGTAGTAGTAGTAGTAGTAGCTTCTTGGTGAATGAATAATTTGTAAATAGAAACATTTGTGAGTTCATTTTTGACATATTTGCGATGGTCAGGTGAAGCTGATATCATTCAACAGCTAAAGTGTTTGTGTGGAGCACTGAGTGGACCATTGTACTAAAAGCTCTAGTGGGCGATAAGTGGCCTGTGCCCCTGTGGAGCATGTAAAAATGTGACTGTGTATTTGTTTTGCTTACAAATGGCATTTCCGTATTGTTGAAATGAGCAGTTTCCCCAATTTTAAATGTGCAGAGGTCGAAGTTTAAGCACAGCTGGGGCCATAACAATTTGATGTCACAATTTCCATTGTGTTAACAGTAGACTGAGTAGACTGTTGAGCCATCACTGTACAATTGAATAAACTTTTCAGTGTAGTAAAACAACACAAAATACAAGTAGTACAAATCTGAAGTAGTCTGGAACTGTAGAATATGGTGCGTTGGACCCAGTCTAAACTACACCTCCACAACTTCTGGAAAATCTGACTTAACTGGAAATCGCTCTGAGCTGTTTTAGGAAACCAGGAAATACCAGAAAGAAAACTCAATTTATATATAGAATCCGTGTGTCAATCATTCATTCGTTTTTCAAAATAAAACCAAAAATAAGAAAACAAAAAAAACAACTATTTTCTTCATTATTTGTCTCCAAAACCAAAATAAAAAAAACAGATAACGATTAGTTTTTTCAGTTTTTGATTTTGTGTTTAAATGAATAATGGAAAAAAAAAACAGATAAAGGCCGTTTCCCATTTCTTAAACTTAAGTGTTCTTATGGGTAACAAACCAGCCTGTTTGTTGTTTGTTACAGTGTTTATGGAATGGCCCCCAAATTGCTAACTCTGCCACTGGTTTATATCCCTTTATATCATACAGGGGAAGCTCTACCTGAAAACCATTAAAATTTCTCTTCGCTGTTCAAACAATGTTATATCAGTCGAATGAGAGAAAGCTTATTTGAGACTTTTCATTGAAGCATTTGAGTGATTTTTAACTATGACCAAGGACCCTTCCTGGATCACACAATCAGAGAAGTGATGTGACATTGGCTTTTGTGCCTTACCAAATAAAAAGGCCAGACTGACTGAATTCAATGGACATTTCAGATACAGAAGTTTATATTTCAGCCATGAACAATTTACACAGGCCTTTTTAGCTCACATGGCCTTTCAATGATTTGCTCAGTTGCGGAGGTGAAGTGTTCATCTGTGATTTTTACCAGAATATACTGTCATTTTTCATCTTGCACAGAAGTGTAGTCATACTCGTAAAAGTCATAACAGGAGATGATAATAATAGTAGTTGTAGTAAGTGCTAAATAGGGTCGTAAAAATATCCAAATCTCTCAGTATGATATTATTACGATATGCATCTCGCGGTACGATATTTATTGCGATATTTTAAAGAGGCTAATACAAGTGTAGATAGGAAGATTTTTTCTGCTTTTAAAATACCTTGACAAGATTTTGGAGTGAATTATTTCCATCATAATCCCAAGAATTCAAGTAAAAAACATATTTTGTCATGTTGTCTGCACTGAAATTAATCATGGGATATGTAGTTCCCTATGTCTATAAGCTGTTACTACTATAAAACCATGCATTTAAGCGAAGGAACTTGAGATTCGATATATTCTGACAGCCCAGGATATTATTGTGAAACTTTTGACGATATGATATCACAATATTTTGGTTATTGTTACATCCCTACTGCCAAATAATACTCAAACTATTTTAGCTTAATCTTTATCCACCCTAATAATGAAAATCTAAATAAAGTTTTACTTTTTGTCTGTACCAAGATGCAATGTCTGTCTTTCCTAACACGCAACATCTCTTTGACAAAACCCACTGGCCCATGTTCCAATGTTTAAAGTGGCTGTCCGTAGCTCTACAGGACTTACATTTCTGTCTTTTTTTTTTTTTTTTTTTTTTTTACAGTATGCGGTTGTGATTTGGCCCAGGGCGGCTTTTTCATGAAGAATGGGGAGTACTTGTGCACTCTGGACTACCAGCGCATGCACGGGACCCGCTGCAATGGCTGTGGGGACTTCGTGGAGGGAGAGGTGGTCACTGCTCTGGGCAAAACCTACCACCCGGCCTGCTTCGTGTGCACCATCTGCAAGTAAGGCTTTTGTACCACTGAACATTGCACATAGCGTGTTCCAAATCAGCTTTTTGATCGTCACTGTATACAAAAACAACAACAGAAACATCATCTTTTAACTCACTTTCTGTCATTGAATTAGAAATAGTTCAGTTAATGGGTTTCAGGCATAAGGACTCCTTCCTGATTTGAAGGATTTGGTACGGCAAGCGTAAATTATTTATTTTTTTCACCAACGTAGTACTGCCAAGACCCAATTCGCCAACCTGTTCCTCTGTCCTTACATTTGGTTACATCTACGGTTACGGTGGTTATAGGGCATAAATTGTTGGCAACATTTTTGTAGCAATAAGACACTTCAAATCTTAATATTTTCATTTGAATGAGGAAAGGTGCAATCAGCTTACTTACTGTCAATGAAAATAGAAAGAAAATAGAAAACCGGTACATTTCAATTAAATAATGGCTTCTAAAATTACAGTTTATTGGAAAACTGCTGACTCCCGACACTCGATATTCCAGACAAATGAATCAAAGATTTTGTATTGAGTTTTCCATTAGAGGATTAACAACTGTAGTTAATCTTTTATTGAATTTGCTGATTTAGTAGATTTTAAACTAGAGGCCATTAAGCGTAAGGTGTAAATCAGAGTGGAAGGGGGGCCCATTAAAATATTAATCCTGTTTTTATTTACTAATTCAATTAACACATGCAAGTGATAGAAATGTTGCATGATTTAATAAAAAAAGTCATAAACTAATTGATTCTAGACCGTGACTATGCATACAAATTACCTAGCAATCGTTTATTTTTGGGGGGAATAAGGACATCTAAACAAACTATATAAAAATTGTTCACTGTAAATGTGTAAGAAATGTGAGTTATTATTTCGTTTGTATTGAGAGGGGGTGATTCAAGGACACATTTCAGCCACTCAGTGCAGTCAATAGTAAAACGTAATAGTAAAACCAACAGCTTCATTTAAAGTGAAGGTCTAAGCAACTTGAATAAGTGCTTTGTTTATGGTGCTGGAACAATGCAAAAATCAATGCAAAAATCGATGTGTATATGTCTTAAAATGGCTATATTTCTCTGTTATATGGTGATAAAAACAGGCAGATATTAAAGGACTCAGATTACGATCTATTTCTGATGGTATAATGTTTCCTCATCATGTTTTTGTTTCATTCGCAGATGATTAAGACATAAATCCTGCATATTAACCTCAGTTCTCTCAAAAAATAAATAAGAAAATACTCAGTTCCACCTTGTGATGTCATGTAGTAATAAATAAAGTACTCTACTGTGTTTTTAAACTCCATACATTTTCACTAGAATGATTTGGATACTGTCATAGAATTGAAGAAAAGGTAAAAGGTAGTTGTGGGCTGTGAGTTTTGGAGATGTAGACAGACTAATAATGTAGGATTATTCAAAAGTGTGCAAATGAAACAAAACTCCACTAATGTTTTTGATGAGATAATACCATTATAAAATGGCTTAAAGCTCACAACAGTAAATTTTGCCTACTCACGATACAATATTATCACAATACGGCGATACAGGCGGTAATCAATATAAAGCCATAAGTCATATTTGAATGTTTTTGTTTTTTTATTAAGCACACTGGTATTTTTTATTGATATTGTATAGAGATGACTAAGGCAGACAGTGATCAGATTAGATTAGACTCTAACAAGCGTTCTGATGGCTGAGGACATAGGCAATAAGGCAGGGTAATGCAGCAGTGATAGGAGAGAAAAGTTAGGCAGATGTTACAATTTAGCCAAAAAATGACTTCGGCAATTATGCTATTAGGCTAACAGTTGATATATTGCTGTTTTTTAAGAACCAAATACATTTTAGCAACAATATTTCTTTGTGAACACCACTGCATGTGCAAAGTTAATATGTAATACATTTATTTTAATTACCAAAACAGTGCATATGCCAAGTGCATACATTTCTTTCCATTAAATAAGCAGCAAAATTGTAGTGCAGTCACACAAAAAAACACAACGAAAGTCTTGGTGATATATATTGGTACAGCATCCCAAGATAACAATACTGTATCATCAAATTTAGTATCACGTTAGATCAGTATTTTGATATTTTTACACACCCCTAATGGTAACAATCCACATTTTTCATAATTCAAAACCCATAGAAGCTGAAACACATGACTACATTTCCTAAAAGTACTGCATGTTTGGAGATGCTCTGACCCAGTTAACCACCACAATTTGCCCATTTAGCAAATCCTCCTTGATATTTTTTGTGCATTGAACACTTTAATTTTGGGGACAGTCAGTGCCTTATATTACATTTCACCAACAAATAAGCAACATGACAAAACTGAAATTCATTTTATTAATTTTCAGTATTCCAGACCCTCCAAATTGTTTTTCTTTCTTACACCAAAAGCATAAAATAAAACAAACTATACTCTGAATAAGCATGTGTCCTTAAATCGTATCCTGGAAAATTGAATGAGTTGAATCTGGCCATTGCTGCTTGAGGCAATATAACTCCTAACAATGAAAAACAGTGTCCATGTAAATAAGATTACATGAGCCACCGGTCAATAATAATTTAATATCTGTGTTTGAAATAAAACAAGGCATGGCTCAGATTAGATTGAAACAGAACCACATCTGTGCATAAAACTGGGGTTATAGTATTGACATTGTTAGAATCATTTGTTATCAGATTTAGATATAAATAATATAAGAAGCATAATCCTAAATAATCTATGTAATTTTGTACAATATGATAAAATGTTTGTCACTAAATTAAGAATCTATTAATGGATAGTGGACATTTTAATTTCCCATTTAGTACTGTCTATTAATTGAGTCTTACTATAACCTGGGCATTGGTAGGGGTGTGAGATTTAATACAATCAAACAACAATGTCAATAATGGAAACTGAATAATGGAAATTAACAAGAATTTCTAAAACAATTTCCAAATCAGTCGTATTTATTCATCAACAATTAGAGATGTAACAATATCCAAGGACAATACAATATCGTCACAGTATGAACCTCACGATACGATATTTATTGCGATATCGTGGGAAAGCTCATAATATGTTGAGGAGGCTCATGATTAGGGATGTAATAATACCCAAATCTCTCTGTACGATATTTTCACGATATTTTGTGGAGGCTGCGAACAAAACTGTTAATATGCTAATTTTTTCCTCTTAAAAAGCCTTGACAAGACTGAATCCAAAGAACTAAGACTTAAAAGTGCTTAGAACTGTTATTTCTTCAATTAGTCTACACTGAAATGGAGCAAAGGATCATGGACTATGTAGTTCCCTCTGTCTTTTTTTAGCTGTTGATGCACCATAACTCTTATTTTAAAGTAAAGAGACTTGTAATTCGATATATTGTGATGGTCCATGATATTATTGTGAGGACTTGTGACGATACGATATCACGATATTTTGGTTACTGGTACATACTCATCAACAATATATCACATCTCCATAATCTCATAAATTATGTATAAAGTATGTTAGCCCTGTAGTTTAGACCTCTACAAATGTGCACTGAAAACCATGTAATTCTTATATTAAAGGTCCTGTATTACACAAAATGGATTCTTATGATTTTTAAGCCATGTTATAATGTTGGTACCTCATCCAAAATTTACTCACAAATGTTTGAGTAATCCTTTATCATTAGTCTGTCCGTATCTCCAAAGATCAAAATGCTCACTTTAGTAGGGTGACCAGATGTCCCTATTTACCCCGGACAGTCCCAGTTGGGAGCCCTGTGTCCCTTGTCCCAAAAGATTTATCCATAACCACTGATTTGTCCCAGTTTTATATAATAAATGTCCCAGGTGTCCCTATTTTTGACCAATTTGATACACGCCAACAATAAAGAGAGGCATAAATTGTCATTTATTGAGGTAAACTACAGAAAATCATGCTTAAAAATCATCAAAACATAAAGAAAATGTGGCTATGCTCACTCACATGTTAGTCATGAATGCTCCAAGTGCAGAGCAATTTTCCGTAATTACTCTCTCGTTTCACAATTTTATTATTACCAACCACCACAAACCGGGGGTGCCCCAGTTTTTGATTTTCTGTTTGAGCGAAGAACTCACATCAGCCTAAATATGCAGAGTTTGTGTAAGGAAACAACATTATAACGTAGTTCAGAAAATAACATAATATTAACATAATATACACCCTTTAAGCACTTTAGCAGTTAATACTCCTGGACATAAATGTGGACTGTGAATTGAATCCTAATTGTAAAACATAAATCACAATATATACTAATTACAGATTGTTCAGCCATAGGTTTTGTCTTAAAGGGACATAGGATTTTTTAACATAAGACCTCATTTTCTAGCCAGAGTGTTGGAGACGTGTAGAGACACTTTTTAAAATATTTCATCCAGTCCTTGTATTTGCAGAGGTCACTGGTGCTAGGCTAGTGCAAGTCAATGGCCATAGTTATCCTGCCACTAAAAACAGTCTCACCCACTCCACAAAACACCCAGTAAATCTATTATTACACCAGACTCTTGATGTTAATGTCTGTGTTGATAGAATAGTGTTTGAAATAAAACTAATCTTGCATCACGCATGAATCGTCGCATGTTGAGGGACTATTTTCTCATATATCAGTCCGCCACTGCCACTGCTAAGCTTTCTATCACAAAGTACAACTCGCTGCTGCTGCTCAGACATAAATACTTAAAATGCAAGGTTAGTTTTACTTCTAAAATTATTCTATTGACACAAACATTCACATCGACAGTTTGGCTTAATAATAGATTTGCTTCGGGTGTTTTGTGAAGTGGGTAAGACTGTTTTTAGTAGCAACTATGGCCATTGACATGCACTAGCCTAGCACCAGCGACCTCTGCAAATACAAGGACTGAATGGAATATTTAAAAAAGTGTCTCCACACGTCTCCAACACTCTGGCTCACTAGGAAATGTGGTCCTATGTCCAAAATTTAAAAAAAAAATATTAAAACTCCACTTTTATTCTCTGCATGAGTTCAGTTTTGTTGCTTATATTCTGTTGTATTCTTTTATATTTTATTTTATAGTTTAATGGCTGTGTGCTAACTATGTGTCACACTTTGTAAACAGCTTTTGTTTGTAAAATATGCCATGAAGTAAAGTGGAATGGATTGTCTTTTGTCCTGTATTGAAGACAAGGATTCACTGTTTATTTAGTTCTCTACAGCTCTTCAGATGTGGTTGTTTTGATGGTAACCTGGAGTGAAGCTGGGGTCAGAGACGACAGAGTTTACAGTGACCAGGACAAGAATGTGTCACCACTTTGTCATTTGAGTAAATAGCTCCTGTAGGCAAACACTGTCGAAATGTATTAAACTACTGCGTCATCTTTTTCTACATCATAAACAATAACACTGTGGAACTGTGACTGGTTTAGTCCAGGTTCAGCTTCTTAAAGGTGCATTGTGTAACTTTTTGGTTGGTTGAACCTGCTTGTTTCTACGGGTGCGTCATTGCTCTGCCTGGAATCTTCCACAGTATGACATTAAACAGCACTACCTTACATTTATTCAATTACAGATGGTTTTATAGCTCAAAAATACCTTTAAATACACACATCCTGAGTGTGGGCGGGGTTGCCTCTCCACAGATCTGACCTGTACCTGTGTTGGTCCTATTTTTAAGCCTACATTTCCAGGCAAATTTATAAGCCTCTTTTGTTTTTTTTATATCATTTTTTCTCACCTAAAATAAGGAGTAATTTTGCAAGATAACAGAAAGAACTCTCCTATAATTCTCGTTTTTCATATTCATATCAAATTTTGTTCTGTTGAGTAATGATACTTGTTGAGACGAGTAGTTTCAAATCAGTTTAGCATTAGTATCTAGGTATTGATTTTTTTTTTTTTTTTTTTTTTTTTTTTTTTTGATAATCCTAATCTAGTCCTACTTTAAACCTGAAAAAGACCAAGGTATATCTCTGTTAAATACTATACAACTCCCCACTGGCTTGTATCTTGTGTCCTATTTCTTTCATTCTCTCTGTTCTGAGCAATGCCTTTGTGTCTCCTCTGGCAGACGACCGTTCCCTGCAGGAGACAGAGTGACCTTCAATGGGAAAGACTGTCTGTGTCAGTACTGCATCGAGCCAATGTCACCCGGACCCAAGGACATCCTGGGCTCCAGCAGTAAGTATATGGGTATAGGGCGTGGCACATGGCGGTGAGGTTAGTTTATTCGCCATTTCTAGATTAAAACCATTGGAAAATGTGCGCAAAGACCTGAGAGTGCGCCATAAGAAACACACATGGACACTGAATTGTCACAAATTATTGACAAATTGTGAAATAAAGAAGCTAAAAAGATTACTAAATATAATATAAGGTGCTAGGTCAAAGTTAATTCTTCAAAGCTTATAACAATTTTCTGCATGGGATAGTGAAGCTGTACCACTGATTACATTATAATTGTGATTTAAATTATTGTTCCTATCAATTACAAAAATAGTGTAAAATGCATTGCTGCTTTTTGTAACTGGAGCAAAGGCATTTATCGAATCTTTAGCCATTTTTTAAGCATCTCTGCATAAATTTCATAACGGGCTGCATCTAAAAAGGGAATTACAAAGAGTTTGTTGCAACCAGATCCACCTGCACAACAAGACAGGATCAGGATTGTGGAGAGTATTTCATTGATGGAAAGAATAACATAAAATCTTAAACTGCAAAGGTAATGCATTCATAAATTACCCCAGTAAAACAACATAGTACATTAAAGTGTCATTACCAAATGCATGTTTAAATAAGAACCTGTAACTCCAGACTGTTGTTACATTGTTTTGATCTATATTGTTTTTTGTATGTTTTGAAATGTTTACTAAAAATCTATATTTAAAAAAAAAAAAAAGTAACAACAAAAGAAAATACATAACAGAGCTTTAAAACTTTCCTTATAGATGATAAAAGGTCTAAACTTCCTTTACAGGTAATAATTTCAGTACTTTTGTTATGAATAGTTAATCGTAGGGATGTAACAATAATATCTATTGGTACAATATTTTCACGATATACATCTCACGGTACGATATTTATTGCGATATTTTGTAGAGGCTTTGAATATTGTGAATATACTTTTTCCTATTTTTCAAGACTTAATCCAAAGAACTAAGATTTAAAAATGGTTAGACCTGCTATTTCTGCATGTAGTTTGCATCAAAATGGAGCAAAGGATCATGGTCAATGTAGTTCCCTCTGTTTTTTTTTAGCTATTGCTGCACCATAACAATGAATTTAAGCAAAGAAACTTGTGATTCGATATATTGTTACAGCCCACAATATTACTGAGAGACTTTTGACGATACGATATCACAATATTTTGGTTATTGTTACATCGCTATGGCAATACTGGTGACTTTTTATGATTCAGAAACCCGTGGATAGAAAGGAAACTAAGAGATTCAATGCACCTGTTCTTTGCAGCTTGTTTAGTGTGTTGTGAATAGCAATTTGTTTTGCGATGCTGCCCACACATCATTAGCATACATTTTGGTGAAATGTGTCCTAAAATGTTCCCAATGCACCAACGGCATCAAACAGCTTCACTCAGGAAATAGTCCTCTTCCTAGTTTGAGTGTAATCTGGCAATTGATAGAAGCATTTTACACAGTTTAAAAAGACCTTAATGTAGTGGCCAGTGGTGTTGTGCTTTCTGATGTACCAGGTGGAGATGACAGATCGGATAAAAAAGGTTCAAGGCTAAAATAATCTGGCTTTCAAATAGCTACAGGTGGACCAGGAGCTGTAAGCACTCTCACCTCATAGCAAGAAGATCTCAGGTTCAGTACCCAAACTGTATATGGATTATTTTAATAAATTGTGTCTGGAATCTGGATGGGTTTAATTTCCTCTGGTTTTTCTCGTTTTACCTCTCAATGAAAACGTGTTCGAAAGCCTATTCTAGTTTTAACATATCTCTAAATTTGATCTGGTCACTGTTAGTTGCACTTTATCGTATTGAAAGTCTGATTTAAACTGGCCCTACATCAAAATATATCAACCCAAAACTATCTTCAGAGCTGATTTGCCATTGGTTGCTCTGAAAATAATCTGCAACGGCCATGAAAAAGAGCGTATCGTCGATCTAGTTAGTAAAATTATTCTTTTAGTGAGGACTGAAACTCCCTGGTGAGCAATGCATTAGATTCCTCATTCTAAATTCCATGATCTATTCTTGTTGTCCTCAAAACGCCAGCCTGTGTTCGTGTTACGTTACGCTGAGACTTTCTAAATGGGCTTACCTGCGTTACTCTCAGTGATGTAACAGATACAGTAGGATCCAGGGAGCTTCTGTTTGTCTCCTGGTCTCTGCTCCTGAGTGCACGCAGCCACTGACCGTAACTTTAAGATTAACATTGTGAAAGGCCTTGTTAAATTATGTATGTCCACGCTTTTCCTCTGACTTTGTAATAGTCACGCCCTCTTCTTCTCTCTCTCCACTCTTGTCCCCTCTCTCTCATCCTCTGCCCCCTCTCTATCTCTCCCCTCTCTTTCCTCTTCTTCCTTCTTTTCCGCTTATTCTTTCTCCCCTCTCTCTTTTCTCTCTTTCCCTCTCTCTCTTCTTTCACCTTCTCTCCGGTCTTCTCTCATCCTCTCTTCCCTCTTTCCTCCTCTCTCCTCTCTCTCTTCTCTCACCTCCTCTCTTCTCTCTCGTGCCTCTCTCTTCTCTCTCCTCCATTCTCCCCTCATCTCTTATCCTCTCTTCTCTCCTCCTCTCTCTCCTCCTCTCTCCCTCCTTCTTCTCTCTCCTCCACTGTTTCTCCTTCTCTCATCCTCTCTCTTCTCTTCTCCATTCTTTCCCCTTCTCTCCTCCTCTTTCTCCTCTCTCACCTCCTCTCTTCTCTTCTCTCATTCTCTCTCCTCATCTCTTATCCTCTCTCTTCCTCTTTCTCCTCTTCTCTCCTCTTCTCTCCCTCTTCACCTCTTCTCTTCTCTCATCCTCTCTCTCCGCTTTCCCCTCTCTCCTTTCTCCCCTCATCTCTTCTCCTCTCTCCTCCTCTCTCCCTCCTTGCGTCTTCTCTTCTCTCATTCTCTCACTCCTTTCTCCTCCCCTCTCTCTTCTTTCTCCTCATTTCTCATCCTCTCTCTCCTTCTCTTTCCTCTCTCTTCTCACCTCCTCTCTTCTCTTATCTGTTCTCCTCATATCTTATCTTCTCTCCCCTCTCATTCCTCTCTCTTCTCTCCCCTCCTCTCTCCTCTTCTCTCATCCTCTCTCTCCACTTTCCACCTCTCTCCCCTCTCTCCTCCACTGTTTCCCTTTCTCTCATACTTCCTCCTCTCTCTTCTCTCAAGTCCTCTCTTCTCTCTCGTGCCTCTCTCTTCTCTCTCCTCCATTCTCCCCTCATCTCTTATCCTCTCTTCTCTCCTCCTCTCTCTCCTCCTCTCTCACCTCCTCTCTTTCTCTTCTCTCATTCTCTCTCCTCTCATCTCTCTCTTATCCTCTCTCTTCCTCTTTCTCCTCTTCTCTCCTCTTCTCTCCCTCTTCACCTCTTCTCTCATCCTCTCTCTCCGCTTTCCCTCTCTCCTTTCTCCCCTCATCTCTTATCCTCTCTCCTCCTCTCTCCCTCCTTGCGTCTTCTCTTCTCTCATTCTCTCTCTCCTTTCTCCTCCCCTCTCTCCTCTCACTCCTCATCTCTCATCCTCTCTCTCCTTCTCTTTCCTCTCTCTTCTCACCTCCTCTCTTCTCTTATCCGCTCTCCTCATCTCTTATCTTTTCTCCCCTCTCTTTCCTCTCTCTTTTCTCTCCTCCCCTCTCTTCTCTCCCCTCTTTCCTCTCTCCTCTTCTCTCATCCTCTCTCTCCGCTTTCCACCTCTCTCCCCTCTCTCCTCCACTGTTTCCCTTTCTCTCATACTTCCTCCTCTCTCTTCTCTCTCCTCCACTCTTTCCCCTTCTCTCATCCTCTCACACCTCTCTACCTCTCTCTCCCCTTTCTCCTTCTCTCTTCTCTCTCTACCCTTCCTCTCCTCCTGTGTCCTCCCCTCCTCATTACAGTCTTCTCTCGTCTGTTGGCATTTGAAGAGCTTTTAGACAGGGTTGCTATGAATAAGACATGTTGATCCCCTCACAGCCTGGTTATGCCTCACGTAGTTAGCATCCCCACTGCTGGTGACTGCACAGACTTACTCAGGCCATTAAAATACAAGATGATGACAAGATTAGATTGTTCTCTCGGTAGAGCGCAGGCCTCAAGCACTTTCTGAGCTCGGGGACTGTTCTTACATGTACTTATATTTTAGATCGGACTTCATGATGGAGGTGATGGGGAAAAATCAACTGTCATAGAGTTAGAATGAGCTTTGTCGCCACCTGGTGTTGGAAAAGTCTTGTAGAGTTGCTTTGAAGTGTCTGAAAATCTATCTGACCTCTTCCATGTATTCTTAACAATAAAACAAGAGAAGAAAAGGAACTCATAGTGAAAATAGTTAGTGTGTCTGTTGCGTTTATTAACAAATTTAGAGTTGGAGCAATTATCAAATCAGAAAGGCTGCAATTATTTAATTAGTATGCCCTCTGCACATAACAAAATATCATGGATTTTTATAGAAAAACCTTGTATCTGTAGTTTAAACCTCTACAAACATGTCGTGTATTAAATTCAAAATACAAGACTACAAAACCAAAATACAAGAATACAAAATCATGCAGCCCTAGGCAAAGGAATAATGTAACTTTACTTATTTTATTTATTAATTTATTTAGTTTTGAAGTGTCAAATGTACTCTTCCATAGCACAGAATCTATGCAATAATAATAATATTTGTATTTTTCTCTACAGATTGTGCAGGATGTGGTCGTGACATTAAAAACGGACAGGCTCTTTTGGCTCTGGACCGACAGTGGCATCTGGGTTGCTTCAAGTGTAAAGCCTGTAGTAAAGTACTCACTGGAGAGTACATCAGCAAGTGAGTACTACTACTACTACTACTTCTGCTTACGGGATACTGCATTACTTTTACAACTGCAGAGTCACATTTTACAGTTTAGTGACGGGCTGCTTTTCTCATGATGTACCAGGGATGGCGCCCCCTACTGTGAGAAAGACTATCAGATACATTTTGGTGTTCGGTGCGAGGCGTGTCATCAGTTCATCACAGGGAAAGTGCTGGAGGTAAGTGAAGAAATACTGTCATACATTTTGCGTGTGTTCAGACTTGCACACAGCAAATCAAAACTAGGACTAAACTTGGACTAAAATCAGAATTAAACCAGGATTACACCAGAACTAAATCAAGACTAGAGCAGGACCAGTCTTTATGCTGGACTAGAGTGACCCAAACCAGAAGAAAGAGTGTAAGTGTATCGTTTCATTACTAGTACCTGTCGTTGGGCTTGATTGGGTCACTAAACAATAGTAAGTTCATTTTTGTAATAAAGTCAAGGTTAGTTTATCTAGTATGGTTGTTTCACAGTAGGAAACAAAGTAGATAAAATACATAGATCCCTGAACCCGCAATTTTACTGAACAAATCTTGCAACCCCAATGTGAGTTTGCTTAGAAACATATCACTAGTCACTCATATTTTCAAGCTTTCTCAATTAAAGATGAACACCTTTGCCTTTGTATTCCACTTTGTATATTGTAGAACATTTTGAGCAATATTTAAGTTGTTTTGCTTGTGTCCTGAGGAAGTTGCATCACTCAAATTTTGTGTAACTTATAATGTGGTAATCCGCTGTAATCTGCAAAGTCTGAAGCCAAAATCAGTGAACACTTTTATAAGAAAGATCATCTCCCTCTCGCTCACATCTGCGCCCACACAGAGTAAATTATATAAACATTACATAAACAGCTGATGTCTGATGAGCCTGTATCCATTCAGATGTAACACAGCTGTTATGAAACACATGTCGAGGTGATGCTAAAGTGGGATAAATATAGTTTGTGAAACATGTTGCCAGTGAATGCGATTTGTACTGTACTTGTACTTACAGACTGGAGCAAAACAAAAAGTAAACATTGTCCAACTAGAGATTTCAATCAGGATTAGGCCTCGTTAAACATTATATTCTTGAAAAATCTAACTTTTCTTAGTTTTAAGTTAACAAGCTTTGGCTCACCACTCTATGTTTCCACCAAGTGCTGGATAAAATGTAAAAACAAAAGTACACCAGTGCTACACTTTGCATAAGTGGTTCTGTTACTACTATTAACATATTTATAGCATATTAACAATAAAACTATGGGCATAATCACTAACATAAAACCATATGAGTTAAGTAATTGCTATAGGTTTTAACGTAATTGACATTGCTATACAGATAGTTACAGTCTGAGAACAAAATGTAAAATTTTGGGGACAGGAATAGGCGATTGTCCAAAGGTGATTTTATTCTTTAACATAAGTTAAATAGCTCTTTTACATCTTATACTTTAGTTTTGCTTTATTCTGTCCATGTACGTCTAAAAAGCCACCATATTTTTAGAGTACCGCTAATATAACTTGAGATTTTGAAAAGGCGTAATTATTTTTCCTTCTAAAAAACACACCTCTAGACATTCGTTTAAAGGTACACTATGTAACTTTATGTTTTGGGGTCTGTCACCTGCTTGTTTCTATGGATATGTCATTGCTCTGCCTAGAAATAAACAGCTCTACCTTACGTTTATCCGATTAGAGGTGGTTATATAGCTCAAAAATACCTAAAAAACATGCAATTTCATTATGAGCGGGGTTGCCTCTCCACAGATCTGACCTGTAACGTGTTCTGGTTTGTTCTCCTTGAAGATAGAAAGGTTTAATATTATACTGTGACATAACATAGCATTCCAGCATTTGACGGACCCTCCACCAGAAAAGTTACACAATGCGTCGTTAAGTTTGTTTTCATCCATATGAACATGCCAATCTGCTTTTGCTTAATAACACTTTTCATTTCTGTGTGGTCATGGGTGACATTTTCAGACTGCGCTCAACACCTGCTCTCCCCCATTAACACTCGCCTTGTGGTTTTACTGCTGCAAATCCAATCAGACCGAGTTATGTGACGTTAAATACGACCGAAATGTCAGAGCGCGCAGTCGGGCTTATAGTAATCCAATATTAAAACCAATATAACAACAGCTCCCCAGACTACAGTACAACTCTATATCCATCAGAGGGACCAACCCAGTCCATGGACCAGAACTAAACCAGGACCAGTCAAATACCTGTCTGCATATTCTGGCAGTGGACCCCAATTGGCTTTTGTATAAATTAAATCTAGTCAAAGCTGTCAGTGAAGTAATCAAGAAAGCTATGTCTACAATTGATTAACAAGATTATCTATAAGCTTCATATTATGTGGGTATGTGTAGGAGACAAAATAGTGGTCTTGGCAACAATTAGTATTGGGAGTAACGCGTTATAAAAGTAATGAATTACTGTAATGCATTGCTTTTTGCTGTAACTCAGTAATGTAAGGCAAAAAAATTGTTTTTATATTTTATCAGTAACGCACATCACAATGCATTTTTAACCTGGATTGAAGTGGTGGGTTTTTCTTCATACAAATTCACTAAAATCACTGCAATATCAGCAGCGGTGAAACACCATCATTATGGTTCCGAGTGTCGGGACAGGCTCGCGTAGACTGTCAGGTGGGCGAAAGGACTGGCGCAGAACTCCACGCTCCATGGAGCTAATCGCAGTCAATGCCCGATCGAGCTTTGCGCACCCCCTGCTTCACGGGCTCGGGGTTCTCTCAGGAGTGGTCCTAGATTCCAAGTCCTAGTCCAAGATTAGTCCTGGTTTGGTCCTAGTCTAGTCCTGGTTTAGACCTGGCTTATTGCTCCTGGTTCAGTCCTTGGTCCAGTCCTGGTTTAGTCCTGGTTTAGTCCAGGTTCTGTCCTCGGTTCAGTCCTGATTCAGTCCTGGTTTAGACCTGTTCTAGTCCTGGTTTAGTCCTGGTTCAGTCCATATACAGTGCAAAAGTTCAGCATCTTCGCTTGCTGATTGTTATTTGACAGTCAGCAACAGTTATTTTGATGAGAGTAACTTAAAAGTGCTGCAATAGTCGTGTAATGTCTTACATTTTAAATGCAGTAATATCATAATGTAACTAATTACTTTGAAATAACAGTAACACGTAATAAATAACACATTACGTTTTGAAGTAACTTGCCCAACAGTATTAACAATATGGTTGAGGGTTCAATTCTCTCTTTTTCAAAATAAAACATTGTTCAGACGGAAATAATGTAAGTTAATGCGGCCCGATACCAAACAACTCATGGACCAGTACTGCGGTTGGGGACCGCTGCTTTGCTCACTACTTACTTCTATTTGGTTGATTGACTGATTGATTACTGGACTACACTTGCTAATATTTTCCATCCAGTCTCGAAAATTGCACATGATAAACCACTGTTAAAACTCCTGCTAAAACCACTTTGAATATTCACATTTTGCTGCTTTGGTGGCTTGTGCTAATTCCTTCATGGAAAATGATCTGCTAATCTTTTGGCAGCCATATTATTTGCACTAAGGGTTCATTGAGATCCATGAAATAAGAAAGCATGGATCTCAAATAGGCTGCTAATGTATGTTTTTATTAGGCCATAGAGAGGAGAGAATGCACTGGCGCAATATCAGTGAGGGAGGTGCAACGTGTCACTTTGAAATAGTCTCTGTGCTCTACTGTAAAATGCAAATGTATGCTCCTCTCTCCTCTGGACCATAACCTCACCTGAACTGCTGCTGTAGTTTCATTTATCTGGGCATTCTAGCTGCACAGAAACTAAGAGGAAAAGACTGAAATTAGACCCAATTTGTGAGTAATTTATTTGTTCCTTTGCTCATTTCTACTTTCTAAATTAATATACTTTGGCTCTACCTTGCAGTGGTTCAGAATAGTTTGAATTACTACAAAATGTATTTCTAAAAATTGACTCCCAGTATCTACATGGAATACTTTTATCGGACATAGACAAGATTTAAAGCATAAAATAAATATGACTGTATATATAAGCTATACTGTATAACTTTTATAATGGGGCTTGTTTGCATGGAGATGTTATTGCTTTACTTGAAATGTTCCACAGCATAGCATTAATTCATTATTTTATTATGAAATAAATACTAGAAAGATACATTTAATGCTGTACGCAAAAACATTCCTGGCAAAGCAATTGGTGACGAGCAGGCTTTCACACTGCAACTTTATATAAATCAATAATGAGAAGTTTTAGAGTGAGTTGAATGATAAGTGCTGACTCCATGTTGTTCTCTAGTTTCCCGTGATGCTGAGTTTATTCCTTTTGTATTTTTGAAGGCAGGAGACAAACACTACCATCCCAGCTGTGCCCGATGCAGCCGCTGTAACCAGATGTTCACAGAAGGAGAGGAGATGTATCTACAAGGTGAGATACATCGCACAACCTGTTCCTTCTACAGAACAGAAGAGATTACATAAAATACATTATACCTATACTTATGCTGTGGAAGAAGGTGCTTAATGTACCTAACTTTACTAATATTACTGTGGTATTAGAGGAGTTATAGTAGACATAGTTATAGTAGTAGCCAGGGGGGGCTGGTAAAATTACTAGTGTGACTATTTAGAAATCATTTATTATTTAGTGTTACTGATTAGTAGCCTGATTCGTCAGCCAGTGTCACTTCGTGGAAACCATTTGACCTCACAGCATTAGGATTCATTTGCTCGACAGTAGGTGGGTACTTTTTTAATTTAACCAATCACTGTTATTTGGTCATGACGTATGTACTGCGCCAAATCCTGTAGGAAGAAGGACAATAATGTCTTTCCCCTTGATAAAATTCACCAAACATTCTCTTTGTTCTGGCTTTAAATCTTCGATCTCAGGAATTGTTGCCAGCACAGAATGTCTGTCTTCGTCTACATCCATCTCGACCGCTTTGTTTACTGTTGTGCTGTACCACAAAAAGGGACCAAGACAGGCGCTTGAGTTTGACGTCATGACTTCACAACTTTTTGCTGATTGGCCGTTGCGCGGTCTACAACTCCCAGGGTTCTTGCAAACCGTCTAGTGTATTCCAATTCCTGACCTAGTCGCTGGAGAGGAATGAAATTGAGCAGAGCCTGACTAACCGATTAGGGTAGTATAATAGTATGTCAAGAGCCCAATATTAGTTTTACATTTCTGAATTTTATTTTGAATATTTCACATGAAAACCGAATAACAATATCCAAGTTTCACAATATGATATCGTCATGGTGTGAACCTCACAGTACCATATTTATTGCAATATCATGAGAAAGCTCGCGATATGTTGGAGATGCTCATTTTTAGGGATGTAACAATATCCAAATCTCTCGGCATGATATTTTCATGATATTCATCTCACGGTATGATATTTAATACGATATTTTAAATAATATCTTAATATCTTAAAAAGCCTTAACAAGACTTAATCCAAAGAACTAAGACTTAAAAGTGCTTAGAACTGTTATTTCTTCTTGTTGTCTGCACTGAAATGGAGCAAAGGATCATGGTCTATGTAGTTCCCTCTGTCTTTTTTTAGCTATTGCTGCATCATAACTCTTAATTTAAGCAAAGAGACTTGTAATTTGATATATTGTGATTGTCCACGATATTATTGTGAGAATTTAGACGATACGATATCACAATGTCACAACGGTTATTTTTACATCTCTATTGCCAACTGAATCATATAACTCCTGAAAGGCTCCTAGTAGAGTTAGTATTTTTAGTTTGTAGTCATATAAACTTGTAGTGTTTTAACATTGATGATTTTCAGTTTTAATGACTAAATCTTTCCTTCTCTTTCACCTCAGGATCCACCGTGTGGCATCCCGGCTGTAAGAACACCACCAGAACAGAGGAGAGACACAGGGAACGGGTACGGCTTTGGTCTCAGCTATTTGCTATTCTATTTGCTATGTTTTAAATCAGTCTGAAAACTATATTAAACCAATTGGCGTATTTACACTACCTTTCCTTTGCTACCCCTTGTTGAGCTGTTAAACCTTATATACCCTTGCTGTATTGGCTTTTGCATGTGTGCGTATGTTGTATGTTGCGTTGTGTAAAGTTGAATTTTCGGGCTGGTGAGGCAGTACCCCTCTGTGATGTCTGTGAACCCCTCTCCCTTCTTCCACAGCTACTTCCTCCGTCCCTCTTATTCCTACAAAAAACGCAAAGGCAGGTACTGTATTCACTATTGGCTATGAGATGGCATTATCCTCCTCCATGTGTTGTACTGTCTATTAAGGACACAATGCACTGGAGGCCGCCCCCTGCTGGAGGCCGCCTGCACTGCCCTCTGTGTGCCATTGGAGCCATTCAGTGTTGTCTTTGAGCACTCATATCTAAGGCATGGGGTGGATTTGGTAAAACACACACGCTATCTCTCCCGCAAACAACTAATTTGTCTATAGAAATTTCCCATTGAGTTAATATTCATTCGCTGTCTTCAGGATCGCTGCTGCTGCCAGTTCATTTCACATAAAAACGCCATAAGATTCTTCAGGAAACTCTCATTCATTTAGTACAATTTTAAATGAATGGCTTAATCATAAAATTACATGTCAGTCTGTCAACGTATTATGCTTCAAATATGAGGTTGTACTGCTTTTCATTTACTGTGTCTAAGAAGCTCAGGGTGAAATGAAAATTGAAACCGCATGATATCAGAACCTGAAAGTGATCATTATAGCGAAGTATGTGTTTGCCTCGGTAAGTAAGTTTGCAAAATATGGTTCAAAAAGTGTTTTCAATGTACAGTGAATATTTTTTTGATAATTCCAGGTTGCTATTAGTGCCCATTTTACCTTTATAGCACTCAAATGTTCAAATTCCTATAATGTTTTCTACAATATTTAGAACAATACTTGAATAGAAATGTATCTTAAGAAGTCAGCCAGTCCTAAGATATTATATTGACAAATATAATGACATGTATATTTTTGTATACCTTGCTTGAAAGGCTGATTAATCTTTTTGACATGTCTGATGTCTTATTTTATGGACTGGCACTGTGTATTGGATGTCAAAAACACAATAAACAGAGTTAAAAAAAACAGAAAACAGAAAAACAAAAAACAAAAAGAAAGAAGTCAGAATAAAAAAAAAAATATCTAGTGCACTATGCAATCTTTGTGATTTAGGGCCTGTCAACTTCATTATTTCTTTGCTTTGAATGTTCCACTATATGACATTAAACTTATTGAAGAGAGCCCACTCGCAGTGCAAAAAAAAAAGATCAAGATATTCAAGTTTAATGCCTTAATGTTGAACATTCTGGACAAAATAATAACATCTTCATGGCGTTAAGTAGGTGATGGACCACCATAAAAGTTACACAATTCATCTTTAACTGAAAGGGAGAGTGTCTTCATGTAACATCTTCCTTTCTGAATTCAATATTGGGATTAAATAAGTAATTTAGGGTCAGATTAGGATTACTGTTTACTAATTTGATGATATCACGATGTCAGTATATGACATTGTTGATACATTTTCAGCCTGTATGTCATTAATCTAACAACTGTAAAAAGCTTAAAAAACAAAAACAAAAAACAAATCAGTACTTTTGAAATAACTACAGTTGTCTTTATTTTACAGCCTACACGGTCGTCGTCTGAAAGTATTTGTTCCCGACCTGGTTCAAGCATACCTGGCTCACCGGGTCACACCATCTATGTGAGTTATAACTATATGATACACTTATAATTCATAGGTAATTGCATCTTATCTGTTAGTATTGTCCACATGTGTGCGGTGGAAAGTCCCTCGTACTGGTTTTGTGAGTGCTCCTCTGTCTCTGTCTGTCTCCCTAGGCAAAAGTAGACAATGAGATCCTTGATTACAGAGACCTAGCTGCCATTCCCAAAGTCAAAGCCATTTATGACATTGAGCGCCCTGACCTTATAACCTATGAACCCATGTACACCACCTCTTTGGACGAGCAAGACGAGCGGAGAGAGAGTGTGGGAGAGGTAACTGCCGACTGCATGCCCCTCTGTCTGCATGCATGCTGTCTTTAACAAAAATAAGACTTTAATATGGATTTAACTGTGCTTCTCCAACTGTGGTACCTAGGGCTGGACCATATCACCGGTATTTTGGTCTGTCACGATAATTACTAATACAATTCTGTCAATTTATATAATGTTTTACTTGAATTATCTACTTTATTGTTATTGTGTCAGTGGCATAAACTACTTTCTATGATATCATTTATTGTTATATATCTCTAACAATATAGTGTTTGAATTTGCAATCTGTTTTTGGGCATAATTCTGCTTTATGGTTCAGTTTCAGTATTGACATTAATCATTTATATTTGGTTTAGCAATACATCGCACTTCAAATCTTGTTATCTTGACAGGCTTAGGTATATTACATGGGGGGATGAAATTTGGAAAGTCGTGATAAAACTGTACGTGCATTACAGCTGATTTTCCTCTCAGTTACGAGGGGAGCAGACAGGATTTGTGTTTCATTTCTGCAGTTTAAGAGCAACCTGAACATGGACTGTGAAGGTTCTGCAGAGGCTATAAACTGTAATCGAACTTATAGTGATATAGTTAAATAGCCTGAAACCAAGGAAGTACAAATATTATAAAAGAAGTCTTAGGTAAATCCTCAATATATCGCAAACTTTCTCTTTCATATTGTATTTAAAATTTTAGGCTATATCGTCCTGCCCTAATGGTACCACTGTAATTATAAAGTACTGAGCTTTGGTCTTACTGAGCTTTCTTCTTCTGCCGTAGCTCCACACTGCCAGGAGAGAACGTTCACCACTGCCTGATGACAAGGTATGTTTAATTTTTACATTGATTAAGGGCCTGTTTGCACAAGAATGCTTGCGGGTAAAAACGACAAAATATTTTATCAGAAGTGCCTTTCATTTAGATGGTGACAGCGTTTTTGGGACTTAAAAATGCAAAAATCTGAAACCACCCTCCAGAGTGGAAAAATTGAATACGCTCCTCTGTAGTGTCTACACTGGCCAAGATGCAAAACTCTGATCAGATCTGTTCACGTCACGTATGCGTTTACATCACATACATACAATACACAGAAACCTGGCATGCATACACAATCGAATTCCACACACTTTTGCGTCACCGTATGCATGCAGATTTCCTCCTGAAAACGCTCGTCTAAACTCTGAATAAAATGTGAAGACTGGGCGCAACTTTTGCATCTTCTGTTCAGACTGTCATCATATAAATGTAGCCTAAGAGCTTTTAAAGTTGCACTATGTAACTTTTCTCGACAATATGCCACCTGCTTGTCTCCACTGAGATCTTATTTCTTTGCTGGAATGTTCCACAGTATGAAACAGTGTAAAACTACAAATGTTGTTAATTGCTCCAAAATAGGTCTTTCTTACACTGAGATTCTTACTGTGAGTGGACTTGCCTCTCCATAGATGATATCTGCAACTTGCCCTGTTGGCGTCACGTGCTTGTTTCCATGGAAAGTTTATTGCCACACTGTGAAACATTCAAGATAAAGCAATAACCTGGTGGGAGCCCGCATCAGAAACATTAAACAGCCTTTTAATTTGTATTTTTTCATCCCTAGTCCTCAAGAAACATGTCGCCTACTCCATCCTGTGAGGTAAGTCCACACCAACAATCTGTCATGTGCTTTATGGTTGTATTAATTTATTAATGGAGAGAAAAACACATGTAATATTTATTCTTTCCAGGGCTCGTACGACCGTCGGGAGCGTATCCTGCTGCGGTCTACCAGTCAGGGCTCCATTGGCTCTCCTGTTTATAATCGACATAACTACATCCCCACACTGTCCCGGTCCCCTCAGCACTTCCATCGGCCCGGTGAGTCCTGCACAAACGCTTGAGCTCAGATTAAACTTTCATACATGGACATTTCAGTCATCCTGTAATCTGTATTTTCCACATGTTTGATGAATATTGAATCGAGTTTTGAATAACATTCTTCAAATTCAAAGTATTTGCTTGTTTCTGGAGATGTTCCACAGTGTTAAAATAAACTGTTTAGCATTTGTTTCATTATGGTATTTGTTTCATCCAAAAGAAAGAGAACTTCGCATATCAATTACTTGAGACGAGCGCGTTGGAGGAGAAGGAGCAGCCCAAGAACATAGAGAAAAATCGTGCACACCGTCTTACTTGCAAATTGTGAGATTTATTAGGACAAACCGTGCAACGTTTCGGCACTAGGCCTTCATCAGGCAAAAATAGATCTCACAATTTCCTAGTAAGATAGTTTACGGGATTTTTTTCTCTATTTGTATCATCCAAAAAACTTTAGTATATTGATGTTGATGAAGGATAAGTACCTGTTGTTCAAGACTCAATTGAAGTTTGTGTCCAGAAATACACGGTGACTGAAATGCCTTTATATTCACTGACAAGATATACAAGTAAATTTGACATACACATATACAAGAGATTAAAAAGAGTTAGTACATTCATCATTACAGCTACAATGGGTGACTCTTTTTGCATTCACCTTGAAGCTCCCATTGACAAGCTAATCTATCTCACCGCAGGGAGAATCACCACGATTGACTTTAGGTTGTATCAGCGAAGGACTTCTTTCCTGACTCAATATAAAACTTGAAAGTCAATGTTTGCATAACCCCTTTGGAGACGCTGCAAAAAAGGATTATCAACTTAACACAAATACAGAAGAACGAAGAATTTTAACTTATAGGAACTTTATCTTGACTTGAGATGTTTTGATCGTTCATTCAGAGTTCAGAATTAATTAGCTGGGTATTATTTTATTATTTCAGACATGCTTATCTGCCTATAACAGGAAGAAAATGGGAAATTAATTCACTTGAAAGGAAAGTCAAAACCACTCAAACCAAGGTTCCTGACATACATAATATTAAAGAGATATTCCTTCTTTGCAGAGTAGTTCTTATTGAGCTCTCTTGATTTAAAAATACCTCTATTTATCATTTGAATTGCTTTAATTTTCTGTGCAACCTTCTATTCCTCCTCTCAAACCCTCACTCCCTCACTCCTCACCCTCCTTCCTGCTGCCGGGGGGACACTGCGCCTGTCCCGTGCACCTGCGTCTCGTGCACCTGTCTCACGCACCTGTCCTGCCTCAGAGGCTCTGACAGGGATGCAGAAGCTGTGCTCCTCTCTGTGCAGTAACAGTGTGGGCTCCAAAAATAGTGACTCCCGCCCCACCTCCCCTTTCAGACACCACTTCCTGCCCCATAGCACAGGTAAGGGCCCAGGCCACTGCTGTGTGCCGCCCCCTACTGGCAACTCATGTCCACCTCCATTGTCAGCGTGATGCATCATGGGAAGTATAAATGAATGGAACAATAGACAAAAGGAGAGACCAGGAAAATCAATTCTAAAATAAGTCTATATTAGATTCTGTTTTATCTAGTGGAAAGAAATATGTTGAAATGTACAAAATACTATTAATAATTGTTCATTATTTTACTTATTAACTATCTAATAAGAGCTGGCATCCTCTTTATCAGGATCATATAATTTTATGATTGTTTAATGTACAGAAGTACCTACAGTTCAAATGCAGTTTTAACTAGGGATGTAACAATAACCGAAATATCATGATATCGTATCATCAAAGTTCTCATAATAATATTGTGGACCATCACAATATATCGAATTACAAGTCTCTTTGCTTAAATTAAGAGTTATGGTGCAACAATAGCTAAAAAAAAAAAAAAAAGTCAGACAGAACTACATAGACCATGATCCTTTGCTCCATTTCAGTGCAGACTACAAGAAGAAATAACAGTTCTAAGCATTTTTAAGTCTTAGTTCTTTGGATTAAGTCTTGTCAAGAGAAAAAAAGTATATTAGTATATTAATAGTTTTTTTAACCTCCACAAAATATCGCATTAAATATTGTACCATGAGATGTATATCGGGAAAATATTGCACAGAGAGATTTGGATATTATTACATCCCTAATCATCAGCTTTCCCAAGATATCGCAATAAATATTGTTTCATGAGGTTCATGACGTGACGATATCGTATCGTGAGACTTGGATATCGTTACACCCCTAGTTTTAACCCATACCCAAACTTTAAACCTAGATGTTGATATAATAATAAAGGACTGTGATAAATAACCACCCACATATGTGTACTTCATATATTTATACACACTTGTGCAGTGTACTTCAACAGTCTCTTGGTCCATTCATTCATTCTGTCAGAGTTCACTACCATCCACCCTGTTCCTCATCACTTACCCATCGTCATTTCCTAAACAAACCCAAAACTTTCCCAGGCGTGTATGCACTCTAACAAGCATGACCTTTGACCTTTGAACTTACAGAATCACTAGAACACGGCTGCAGAGTTTTGCATGAACTTGAAAAAGCAGTCATAATCCAAATCCACTGCTCCCAAAGTGGGTGATGGATGAGTTGTTTTGGAGCCCGTCGCTCTTCAGACTCACTGACTGTGTGAATGAGGTTTGAAGTACTGCAGTTCAGAGTTCGGTGTGGCATGAAAATAGGCATTAAAATTTAAAGGGTGAACTGCAATTGAACTGTGAATGATAATACGGAGCTTCTCTAAAACTCCATAAATCATAATCACTGGCAGAGGTGGAAAAGCATTACTTATTTGCAAAGTTACTACTGTCATAAAAACGATAGAAAGTATTTAAATCTAGATCCCAGCTCTCACAAATCCTTAAGCACATAGTTAATATTTATATGCATGGATGTGCATGGGTTTAAACAGCTTTTTCTAAATCGCAACATGAAACTGGGGCAGACCTTCAAAGCTCAGTTAATATTACAGCTCATATTTCCAGGTTTGGAACATATACAGCACTTTATTAAGCAGACAGAGTACTGCATTCATTCTATGAGAGAAAAATGTAGAAGAGCCAATAAAGGCGACAGTAGTTGCCTAAATAGTTGTAGTTTTATATTTTATATTTTAAGGAAAGATACAAACTTTTACCTTTTAATTAGCCAGGCTGGCGCCATCTAGTGCCCCCGTTCAGTTGCATTTCTCTCCAGCGACTAGGTCAGGAATCAGAATACACTAGACCAGGAGTGTCAAACTCAAATTCACAGAGGGCCAAAATTAAAAACTGGGACTAAGTTGTGGGCCAAACTAAATATTTATTGAAAAATTTCAACAGCATCTGCATGTTTTCTCTTCTTTCGAGATATGTAAAGTTAAACCTTTTCTTAAAATAAATGTTTAATAATAGTTCTACTTAAACATTAAATCCAGAACAGAGGCCAGTCAGTGAAGAGCTGTGAAGCCATGTCTAGGTCCCTTTTTGTGGTACAGCAAAACAGTAAACAAAGCGGTCAAGATGGATGTAGATGAAGCCATACATTCTGTGTTGGCAACAGTTCCTGAGATTGAGGATTTGAAGTCAGAACAAAGAGAATGTTTGGTGAATTTTATCAAGGGGAAAGATGTTATTGCCCTTCATCCTATGGGATTTGGTGCATTACATACAGCACGACCAAATAACAGCGATTAGTTAAATAAAAAAAGTACCCGCCTACTGTTGAGTGAACGAATCCTAATGCTGTGAGGTCAGACGGTTTCCATGAAGTGAACCCCACTGACGAATCAGGCTACCTTTTAATTACGAAGTCATATAAAAATGTTTTAGACTTAGACAAACTTTTTTGATCCACAAGGGATTTTATTTGGACACAGTAGCTTTTTTTTACTCATATATAAGGTAACAATGCTTGAATTAGTTTTCCGCCTATCTATAGCACTCTATTTTAATTTTCTTACTAACTGCTTTAAACATGTAACATCATTAACTTCATTATAAAGCATTGCCCGTCCCATCTGAAGCGGTCCCTGTATGCCCCTCCGCTCTCTTCTGCCCCCTACTGTCCTTATAACACTGGTGCTTATGTTGTTGTTCTGGTTCTTCTCACGGAGGCACCACTGACCCCCCCAGCGGCCGCAGCTCCCCCCTCCCTCTCAGGCCCGACAGCCGGCCGGGCACCCCGCCTCTGTCTCTGACCCCCAAACACTTTCACCTGCCAGGTATTTACTGATCTATCTGTGCTTGTGTTTGGAGTGGAGCGCACCTGTCACTGCTCCGGTCTGTCTGCCTGTCTGCTACCATTGTTTACTCTTAAGATTATTTATACCCGGCTAAAACTCACAGATAAAAGAAAGATGGTATGGGATTATATGGTTTTTAATGTATTTTTACTGTCACCATCTAATTTGTATTTTTGTTGAGACAAATTGAGACAGTGGTAATAGCAAGAATGTGAAATGATACTGAAAATCTGAGCAAAAATCTATTATGTTTTTATCAGCTGTGATTAAATATATGCTTAAAGAGAGAAGGTATGATTAAAGAAAAAAAATCATTATTTACAACTTAAAAAAAATAAAAATGAATAATAAGTAGGGATGTAACGATATCCAAATCTCTCGTTACAATATTATCACAATATGCATCTCACAGTACAATATTTATTGCGATATTTTGGAGAGGCTGATATAATTGTAGATTTTTAAAACTTTTTTTGCTTTTAAAATGCCTTGACAACAATTTGGTGTGAATAATTCGTCATAATACCAAGATCTCAAGTAAAAAACATATCTCTTCATGTTGTCTGTGCTGAAATGAATCATGGGATATGTAGTTCCTGATGTTTGCTACTCCAAAACCATGCATTAAAGCAAAGGAACTTGTAATTCGATATATTGTGACAGTTCGCGACATTATTGTGAGACTTTTGACGATATGATATCACAATATTTTGGTTATTGTTACATCCCTAATAATAAGTTTAAAAAAAATGTGTGGTCAATTCCTTAAAGATGTAGCTGAAACTTTTCTGATGACTTACTTGTCTCCATGGAAATGTGTTTGTTTTGCCTGGAATTTTCCACAGTATGGCATTACACGCATTTATGTTCCATTTAACAGCAGACATTTTATAAACTTGATAATAAAGTGTCTTTGTTGAGATACATAAGTTTAATGCCATATTGTGGAACAAAAGCAGTAACATCAGAAAACTTACATTGTACATCTTTAAGAAAAAAACAAAACAAAACACTTAAACAGAACATTTAGCCTGGGTATAAGTAATTTAACTGTAATTAATATTCTCTTGTGTGGTACTATCTGCATCCAATCGTATTTGTCAGATATATTTTCCATTTTCAGGGCCATTATCCCTTTATGTATATTTATTCATATTTGTTTATTTTAGGGTCACACAGACACACACACACGTTTACTGTAATGTACAATTCAACTCAACTCACACCAAATATCCCTCTGTCTTTGCTTGTTTTTTGTTGTTTCTCTTTCCCATGATACTTTCCACTTAACTTATTCTGCATTTGGTGTTTTCAGATCAAGGAAGCAACATCTACAGAAAACCTCCAATCTACAAACAACATGGTATAGCTTTGTCTTTTCATTATTAGCGACGTGTTTTAACTTTATACACATATGTTTATATTGTGTATATTGTATTTGGGGTTGTGTGTCCATTGTGTCAGATATTTATGTGACGTTTGAAGTCTGTCTCCGATCCTTCTGTCTGACCTGCAGCTCCTCACACTTTTGGAATATTATCTGTCCACATAAGTTTATTAGCAAGTTCCTCAGTGTCCAACAGCTTAAGTGATGTATATAGAAAAACTTTCAACAAGTTAAAAAGCTCATTTCAAACACGTTAACTAATAAATCCTGGGTTAGTTCTGGTCTAGTCCAGGTTTACTTTAACTTTTAGTCCCAGTGTTGATATTTTACCTAAAGTAAGAGTTGCTAGAACCAGAATCAAGTAAGAATTTAAATAAAACTATTTCTAATCCAGTACTAAACAGTGGACTGAATGCAAGGACAGAATATATTTACCTACATTTGAACTTGAACTGAACTTCAGAAGAATCACAAGTACCACTAATTGTATAGTGCAAAAAAGCATGGCCAAAATGTAAGATATAAACATTTAAATCTGTCAGAAAATTACTTAAAAGTAGTGAAATTATCTGTCCATGCAGCAAGATCATTTTACTTGACAAGTTATCTTAAAATAAACTACATCTAGACTAGAATTAAGCATCTCAGAACTAGTAAGTAGATAATAAATCTGAAAACAAGATGAATAACCTGATATAAGTTTTAAAATCTTGGCCTCTTGTACTCTTAACATATTTTGAGAAACATTACTGCTTATTACATTTTGGTACATGTTTAGTAAAACAGCACTTCACTGCTTTATTACGTTCTAAATATACATTTTATTATACACATTTCTGCAGCCCCCAGTGTGGGTTAGTGTGGGAAAAGTGTAATCTTCCTTATATAAGACGTTGGTGAGTCACTGAGGAGGAAAATCCCAAAATCCGCATTGACGCTGATCCTCTGCACTTCACTCTAAAACATAACTTTAGAATGATTCACTTGTGGGAAAGACTTTGCTTCATACAGACCAGCTCTGATTTAAATTAATACCTGTACTTGCACTTTGAGGTTGTGGCCAGAGGTGGGTAGTCAATACTTATTAGTTAAATTCATATGAACATCTTTATTTATTTATGATTTTATTTAAGATAATTTTTTTACTGCACTTTTCTAATATCATTTTGATGTATTTTGTTTTTAGCTTTTAGAAAAAACATTCATTAATTACTAATTCTTGTGCAATTATAAACTACTTTTAGGGTTTTAGTTTGTTTTTTTTTTCAGACCAAGAGTTTGTTTTCATATCTGACAGTTTCAAGTGCTCACTAGCGGTCTTCCTCAGAGTGGTCACATGATGTTGCTGTGATGTGTGCGGTCAGCTGATTTAAACAGGTTTTGGCGCTGTCTTCCTACCAGAGGAGGCAGGGTGACAGCGTCGTCTGTAGTCCAACTTCCTCAGGACAGAATCCCAGGTGTGTGAGAGTAAAGAGTGGTACATATGTGGTAACATTACCGTACATCAGGGACATAACAGAAAAAGTGCTGAGGGCAATGAGAAAACACAACATCAGCACACCAGTGAAACCGTACAGAAAACTCAGGCAATTACTCATCCACTCAAAAGACAAAATAGAACTGGAGCATAAATGTAATGTCAACAAAACATACATTGGGGAAACAGGGAGGGTGTTCATTACACGATCAAAGGAACATAGAACAGAATGTGAGAAGGAAACAGTGAAGGAGTAACAAAACACAAAGCAGAGCAGGAACAACTCAAATCGGCCATCTCTGACCACTGTAAAAGACAGAACCACATTGTGGACTGGGACAGAGCAAACATCACGAGGACAGAGGAAAACAAATATCGTCGCTGGATTAAAGAGACAATCGAAATACGGAAATGTGCCCACGGGACTATAAACCGGGATGAGGGGGCTTATTTACTCTCACACACCTGGGATACTGTCCTGAGGAAGCCAGACTGCAGATGGCGCTGTCGTCCTGCCTCCACCGGCACCAGAACCTGTATAAATCATCTGACCGGAAACTGTCAGGTATGAAAACAAACTCTTGGTCTGAAAAAAGAACCTAATAACATAAAATATCGGAAAACCAAATCAACCTCATTGGACTGCTTTTTACTTCTACACGCATAACACCTCATTATATTGAAGTATCAGTAGTACTTTTATTTGAGTATACAGTATCTTTAGCTTCTCTACCCACCTCTGATTGAAAGCCCATGTTAGCTCAGTTGCCAGTTATACCGACCTGTAGTTACTGCTGCCGTAGCTCGCCAAAGCAAGTCAGCGGATGACATCATTCGTTCGGCCACGTTCCCCGCGGCTCACGCCCCCTCCCTGGACCACAGCGAGGCCGAGCGCAGGCCCTGCTCCCTGGCTGCTTTAGGTACAGTAGGCTCCGGACTGTGCCTGCTCTGCTCTGCTTCCAATCAACTGTAATGGTTAATTTTCACCATCTTTTTTACCATTGACTCCAAAGCTAAATGCTGCTTACTGCTGCTTCTTTACGCTGCTTTCTCTTGGTTTATAATTACATCACAACACCCAACGCTTTATAATAACTACACCTTAAAAGGCCCATGTTACAATATTTTATGATCTTATAAGTTATGTTATAATGTTTCCTCATTAAAAACATGCTTGGAGATGCTTTTTTTCATTCACACATGTTTATCTCACTAATCCTGCATATTTAGGCTGAGTTCTTCCCTCAGCCAGAAAACACTCTGTTCCACCTTGTGATGTCATGTGGTTATACAGTAAGTGCTCCACTCTGTTTTTTAAACCCCAGACACCTTCACTAGAATCATGTGGATAATTTCAGCCCTGGAATTGCCACTCTGCGCTGAAATGAAGGTGAAACAGAGTATTTTGAGCTTTGGAGTCTCACACTCAGACATGTGTGAATAAAATAAAACACAACTCCAGGTCTGTGTGTTTGATGAGGCAACAGCATTTTAGCAGGACTAAAATCTCACAAGAGTCTATTTTGGAAAATATGGAACTTTTAATTAGCCTTAAAACATGAAAAAAGACTTAATTGTGAACTAACAGAATGACTCAGCCTTAGAATTTACTAAGCTTGACTCATTACTAAAAAACTATTTGTTCATTATGAGTTAAGTCTTTATTCATGGTTAATTAAAGGTTAATTAAGATGTAGTTATTATAAAGCTTGACCTAACCTTGTGTAGGTCTGTAAGATTTAATGGAGATTCATATACAGATGTCTGTTTTTGTAGTCGCTTCAATGGCTTATAGTCACTGGTACGACATTTATCTTTTTGTAGCTGCTACTAAAGCTTTGCAATCACTGTTCATTTTTTCAGTCTTTTATCCAAGCTTTTGCAATGATGTCTTGGCTCAATATATATTGTATTATTCTTTTGTGTTGCTGCTATGCTGTTTGTAATACTAGGTGTAGTACTGATCAGTATTCTGGGAGCACTGGATGTACCACAGTGCCACAAATGACATGGACAGAGATAACTGAGACTGACTTCAAACTTTGTCTGTCTGTCTTACATTGTGTTGTTGTCCAAAAATATTTATGTTTTTATAATGAAATCCTAATTATCGTTTGTCTGTCTAGTCAACTCTGTCTTACATTTGTGTGTCTTTTTACACATAATTTTGCCATTTACTGTGTACTTGTCATTGCACCAAAGACAAAACTAACCTTCCTTTTTATAACAGATGTATATGTAAGAAATTATAGTATTCAAAAGACTATGGTGTATAAGTTTGAGTTATTTGATGGGTCTTTGTGTCCCGTAGGTCCAGAGGGCAGGAGGAGATCCAGAGAAGAGGATGAGGAAGAGGCCTTGAAAAGAAAACAACTCCAAGAAGAACATCTTAATAAGGTCAGTTTCCATAGAAATAAAAATCGAGTACATTGTAAGCCAGGTATGTCCACACCAATGTGAAAAAGACCAAAATCTACACAGCAATTGTCACTGCAGTTCTTCCACAGCCTCTCTCAGGTTCAGTCATTTATCCTAGATCTGAAGTAACACTTTGCCCAGCTTGAGAGTAAAAATATGTTTCTGACCTTTTATACAGTAGAGTATCTAAGCCTTTCCAGAGTACTGTGTTTTTCGGACTATAAGTCACTCCGGAGTATAAGTCGCACCAGCCAAAAAATGCGTAATGAAGAAGAAAAAAACATATATAAGTCACACTGGACTATAAGTCGCCCCTTTTGGGGGACATTTATTTGATAAAATCAGAGACCAGGAACCAACATTTCACCTTGAAAGGCAAGTTATAGTAAAAACAATAGAACCGAGAACAACAGACTGTTAACGTCACATATGAACAGTTCTTCAGAAAACTATAGCATAAACAACATAACTTTACCAAACTCTCAGTTTCACTCCAGATCACTAAATCCATTGAATTCTTCATTCTCTGTGTCACTTCTGAGCAAGTCCGCGACCTCTGGAGGTAAACGGAACGCTGTTTCCTCTTCTGTGTAGCTGTCGTCAGACTCAGCATCAGTTCCAGTTAGAATTATTCCGGCCTTTCTGAATCCTGATAAGATGGTTTCGGTGTCACTGAAGTCCAGGCTTTGTCAATCCAATGACTTCCAGGAAAGTTGTGTGATGCATCTGCCCGGTTACTGTGAAGCTGTGTTTTCCATCGCCACTTTCTGCCAGTCCCTCACAAGTTTCTCACTCACTCCAAAATTTCTTTCTGCTACTCGGCTGAATATTTCACTTCTTGCAGCAGGACAGAGGCTCTTTCTGCAGGAGACATGCACAGTAGTGAAATGACAGTGGTGCAGTCACACCGGAGTATAAGTCGCAGAACCACCCAAATCATGAAAAAAAGTGTGACTTATAGTCTGAAAAATACGGGAATAGTATTATGTATTGATGATTTCCATAATTTTAATCTTGGAATCGTCACCTATCATTACAATATTTTTAAGGCCATAGTGATGATGTATTTTCTCTGTGTTACCGTCATTAATTAACAGTAGTAAAATAGTGGTAAAACAGTGGTAAAATAAGTTTTGGTTTCAGCAGTATATTGTGAAAGAATATGGAGGCCTTTCTATTTATAGCAGTGGTTGTATTATCTCGGCATTCAAAGTAACAACCTCATCTGTCTTCACAAGCTAAATCGCTAAAGTAGTCTTACATCTGACGATTGAAGGAACCGGTGCTGAGTCTAATCTTCATTTTGAACTCCTGTAGATCCAGTCAGGTTTGGGGAAGTTGATCCTTAAGGAGGAGATGGAGAAGGAGCAGATCAGAGCGCGGAGTCAGTCTGCTCAGCGCTGTGACGCAGGTACAGTCCCCACACTCAGCAATGTACAACGCAAAGCACAATAACTCATGGCTTTAAAGCATTTGCAAGAATAAGGTTTTATTATTTATAATCAAGTGTGCGTGTGTATTTCTTTTGCTTTACAGAGCCGACTTCTCCGACAAAAACAAACTCGCTGCCTGGATATGGAAGAAATGGATTGCATCGGGTAAAGATTAGACTTAAATATTTTTAAAGAAAGCAATCCATTGTTAATCTAAATCTGAATCTGAAAAAGGTTTGATGCCAATTTTGATACCATAATGACAATAAAAATACAACTGAGAGAGTTCAACACATATTTACTGATAGTTTTTCGTATTAATACTTGTAAAAAATAAGTTTCAATACTGGTGTTAATATCTGTTTGGGTTTGGATGAAGCAAACAAAGTCAAACTAAATTATATAATTGTAACTAGTGTATCCCGTTAAACACCAAATATGAATTTATCACTCTGTTACTATTCCACTGAGTCGATTGACAGCATGTTTAAAAGTAAGCATACAGCTAAAGTGAGTTGTAAAAAATTATAAAAATTACTGGAAACTTTAATGAAGTGGTCTAGAATGTCTCACGTACACATAAAAGTACTAACAAGTGTTTTTTTTGCAGCCCCAGTCGACAGATTTCACTCAGTACAACAGCTACAGCGACATGTGCGGAGGAGGCAGAGGTGAGGCTGCTTTCGCAAACACTCAAATAGATTCACTACAGCTGCCAGATCAAAAAATAAAATGAAAATACATAAATGAATAAATAAATAAAATAAAGATACAGTATTGTCGTTGGGAATTTTACGGTCAAGTCATTAACTGTGAGTCTCATTCTCTGTCCCATTTTGTCTTGCAGAGTTTCAGGTATGTGTCTGCTGCTCCACATGGCACGGCCCTCTCCTGTTTGCTCCATAGACCTGCTCCATCTTGTGTTTGAGGCCTGTATTTGCTTGGTGCTTGTGGGTGGCCAAAGACACGGTGTCCTGAATGCTCTTCGCCCACTCCTGCCTCACGCTTGCATCACTCTTGGACCCATGTCAGCTCCAGAGTGCACCAGTGTTTTTAATCCTCCCATACAAAAAAACAACAACAAACAAACTTGATGCTCTTTAGGCCTATATAATATTGTTTATTGTTTTAATATAATACCTCAATTTTAGTTTATATCTTAACAAAATCAAGAGGACCCTTACAAATTTAACTGACCTGACTTCGAACAGTTGACCACATCGGCAAATATTAGTCCAGTTGACTAATTGTAACCTTTTTACTATTAATCCCACGGAGCTCAACAGTGACCGCCCACCCACTTTGGAACTGAATTTCTCATTTTTCCCATAGACCTATCGGAAAAAAATAACATTAAACATCTGAAAGCAGTAACTGTAGTAACTAATGGTGTTACGACCCAACTCTGCAAGGGAAAGGCAAGTAACAAAAAACAAGATGGACAGTTGGTATAAATAAAGTAATAATTTAATAAACAGGATTGTAAAAGGGTAAAGCAACAAAACATGCTAAAATATGTACATAAAATAACCTAAACTAAGAAACTAAATAACAGAATTAACATATAACGGGTCACGTAGGTGTATACAACAACGAGTGACTAAACTAATGGATATAAAACAAAACTAAATCACGAAATAAAGTCACATAAACCACAAACAGAATTGTGTGACAAATAAAAAGACAAAAAAAACAGAACTAAACTAATAGAAATTCAGTATCTCAACACGCACACAAAGTCAGACATGTACTAGCACAAAACAAAGTCACTGATGCAAAAGAGACACAGACACAAAATGACAGACTGGCCACAAAGACCAGCAGCCCCGAACAGGTCTAACTAATCGTCTTAAATAGGGGGAGGTGGCTGCAGGTGAGGTGGGACTGGCCTGGTGTAGACAAGCCCCACAAATCAGAGACCAGAATTCAGCAGCCAACCAAGACAAGTCAGGAGAGCAGTCCACCAATCAGCTGTAAATGCTCCCACAGCAACAATTAATAGGGCCTAAAAAAGAAATTAAAACACACACAAACCAAGACAGAGAACTTGACGCCTAGAGTCGTAACAAATGGCCACAAGACCTATAATTTTATTTAAAATCTGTTTCCATTACATTATAAATCACTAAGTTATTAAAGCATTTTGTATAATATTGCATTCCATTAGGAGTGAGGAATTATGCATACATTAAAGATTTATATAAGGTCAGTAAAAATTTTGAATGAGAAGTCCTCAAAATGGCAGAAATACAACAAATACTATCATGAAGAGATTTTAAGGTCAATGTTTCAATCCATATAAGGGCTTAGACCTTGCTGCACCTTATTGGACTTGTGGAACAGTCAAGTTTTTCTAAATAAGGATAAATGCTGTTTTGCCTGACACTGTCTCATTGAAAACATGTCTCACTTATGCATTGCTTTTATTTACAGTTCGTTAGCTATTATCACTGCCAGCTTGAAGTTTAAAATTTGTGTTATTTGTTCACTACAACACTTTTTATTTAGATTTATTTTGTAATAATAATAATTTTAGCCTAATTTCAAAGCAGCAGCCATGTCTGCTGAACAGATACCAGGTTTGATAACTAATTTCTGAAACAAACTTACAAACATTGTTGTGCTATTGTATGGGAGGCATTAAAGCACTCACCTGTAGCTGACCCGTTGCAGTGTGCTTATGGCCTTGTTGTGTTCTTTTGCGTTTTTAATTTTATCAATATTTACTTACATTTAAACTAAGAAAATCAAGATATTTTCCAGTAATTTCTATTACATTAGTAAATATACTGTATCTAAGTTACATTAGTGTCATTATTGTACATTTGTGTTGCCATGACCCTGCTGCCCCTCCCACTCTGTTACATGTGTCTATGTTTTATCCTTTAGCACATTAAGGATGGCCGTGCAGCACTTGCAAGGATGGACAGGGGAGTATCTATGCCTAATATGTTGGAACCAAAAGCAAGTATATTTTTCTATTTTGTGCTCATGACAACTGCAAATGTTACTAAATAATAATAAACTTAAATTAGAGTTACAATATCAAACCTGAACAAAACTATATGCTTTTTATTTGATATTAGTAGGGAAACATACAGTACTGTGCAAAAGACTACTTTATGAAAAACTCTTCTGTCTCTTTAATCTTCTATTCCAGGAGTAAATTCCACTGTGCAACAAATCTCACAGCAGTGGCCCAGTTGGTACTAATATTTGCACACTCTGCTGTTGTGACACTTTCATCTCCTATGCACATATTTGAAAAAAGCTGTGTGTGATGCTCTTGTGATAAAATAATTTCACCTTTCACCTCGCTTTATAATTCTGACAAAAGTCTTTGAATTTCAAGCGTTATGAAATATTGTGTTTTACATTTTACTGAATGATCAGTTGAGTGATATTAAACTAAGTCATAATTTAGATTTTGAGTAAAATACACAAGATAAAAGTGGATGAATATTCCATATTTTTATTGGAAGTACAATTTTCAGCTCTCCTTGAGCCACTGAACCTGTTTCTGAAAAGATACAGAATTATTGAACAGCAAATGTTTTAAGGATGTCAAAACTGACCCTGCTGTTCTAAAGCTACAAACAACGTGTAGCGTCTTTGCACAGTACTGTACTGTAGTCATGTTTGTGGTCTCACAGTTAGCATGCTGCTTGAGGAGCTGGCCTAACTCATTAGCGCTTTAGCATGCTGGCTTCTCCATGTCCATCTGCACTCAGCTCCAGCGGTGCTCACTGTATGAAGCCAATACAGTGACCAGTCTGAACATGTGCCACAGACCTCTATATACTGACCAGTATATAACACACTTACATCATGGTCTCATGATGTTTTGGCATTTTTTCATTGCAGAGATGGAACATAGCCATTTTTTACTACATGAATTTGTTTCTTAAATATATACTCTTTTATGAATGGCAACAACATCTAGTAGTTTAAGTAGTAGCAGTAACTGATTGCTTACAGAAATAAGGTAATTAAAGGGGCTGTAGTGTCAGTAGATAGTCCAAATTATAACACAGATTCCTTAAAAGGTAATTCTACTTGAGTACTAATATTTTAACGTATCAGAACCTCTTCTTGAGTATAGATTTATTCCTCCCTTGGTTCACGTTCTTGCAGCATCTGGATTTCCAGGACAGCCATTCCCTCGTGGATTCAGCTGGCCCACATAATGAATCTTTTTATAGCCTGAATCTAAAAATACAAAGTGTTACATAATTGTTTTCTTGTTTTTTTTTTGCTTTTACCCAAATCAATTGCACGTTTTACACAAAAATAACCATTAACCTGCATTATCCCAATTATCCTGACACACTCCCTCCTGTGTCAGACCTCTGCCTCAGCACAGTGAACAAATGTCATAGAAAATAGTAAAAGAAGAGATATGAATGCAGTTTAAATGTATTTTTACACTGACCTCTGTGCCTCTGTGAAGGTGTACCCATATGAGATGTTGATGATCACCAGTCGAGGACGAGCCAAACTGCCCCGGGATGTGGACAGGACCAGACTAGAGGTACAACTTAGACTTTACTTTTGCTTAATATGATAAAAGATAATATTGTTTAAAGGTGTCTTTTGTAACTTTTCCATGGCGTCAAAATAGTCCAATAATACACACGCACAATAAAACATGCATTTGGGCGTATTGTATTATTTCACACGTGTAGATATTAACTGCGAGTGAGCAAATTATCTCTGCACATGAGGAGAAATGTGTGACCTGCACACAAAACAACGACTGGGGGTCAGATGCACAGTTGAAAAGAAAGACATCGTGTTCTCCCGAAGTTGTTTTATGTTCACTCACGTACAAGGTGGATTTCTGAATCTGTGTATTATTACCTCCGCCAAGGAGGTTATGTTTTTGCCGGCGTTTGTCTGTTTGTTTGTTTGTTTGTTTGTCTGTTAGCGACATAACTCAAAAAGTTATGGACCGATTTTGATGAAATTTTCAGAATTTGTTGGAAATGTGAAAAGGAAGAACTGGGGGTGATCCGGAAGAAATCCTGGATTCTGGATCACTTTGAAATTTTAGTTAACATTGTGGTAAATGGGGACAAAAATTGTGTTTCTCAATATCTCGGTTAATTATTGACCAAACCCCATGAAATTTGACTCAGGGATGGACAATGGGATCCTCTTTCATATTCCAAAGGCTGATCCGGATCTGATCCAGATCCAAATTTATATAAAAAATGGGGGTAGTCCTTGGCGGAGGTCTGCGCTCTCTGAGTGCTTTTCTAGTTTGTTCATTTGTTTTTCAAAATAAAACCAAAAATAAGAAAACGGAAAAAAACCCCAACTATTTTCTTCATTATTTCTCTCCAAAACTAAAATGAAAAAAAGGATAACGTTTCCCGTTTCCGTGACTTAAACTGTGAGGCCTAACTTTTGTGCTGCATATGGACTAACCCAGGACTAAACCAGGAGTGAACCAGGACTAAAACAGGTCTAACCCAGGACTAAACCAGGAGTGAACCAGGACTAAAACAGGTCTAACCCAGGACTAAACCAGGACTGAGTGTTGGAATGGGCCCAGAGCATAAACTGTTAGGTGATCAGGGCTGAGACCAGGACCAGACCAGAACTGAGAGTGGGACCAGAGATCATTTACTCGCTCACAGTTAATATTTATGTGTGTGAAATACACCTGAATGCATGTTTTATCGTGCATGTGTATTATGGGAGTATTTTGATGCCGTGTCCATGTTCCACAGTATGGCATTAAACTTATCTATCTTGCATTCTTTCAAATACAGGTGTTTTTATTGCTAAAATAAAAACATTGGGTTTGCCTTTGTACAGATCTGACTTCACTGCAAAAAATTAAATCTAGCTAAGTTAAGATGACTTGAATTATGAAAGTTTTATCAAGATTTGAATAAATTTCACCTGACAAGTAAAATTATCTGTCAGTGGAAGACTTTTTGTATTTAAAATATGAAAATCCATCTTGCTACACTTAAAGTAAGAAAAACAAGTTTTTGCATGTAATATAAAAACAATAAATGTGATGTTGCTTGAAATAAGAAAAACACACTTATTCCATTGGTAGATAATTTTACTCGTCATATTGAATCTACTCAAAATAAAGTAAAATGTTCTTCATTGTCATTTTAACTTGCCTAGGTATTGCTTTTTGCAGTGTTGTAACCTCACCTGCTTATCTCCTTGGAGATAGATACATTTAATGCCATACTGCTAAACATTTCTAGCAGATTTACTTACAAAGTGCACCTTTATAATCAACATTTAATTTAGAAAACAAAGCTATTGGGCATCCATAGTCCAATGAAGTTCATTTGCTCTTCCGAACAAACTCTTGGTCTGAAAAAAGAACCGAATAATATAAGGTACTGGGCATTTTATTACTTATTTTAGACTACAATGTTATTTTTTTATCCACCAGTAGTATTGGGAGGCAAAGGTCTTTACTACTATTTATACTACTCAACAGTATGTTACCTGCAATATCTCATATGTCTGATCACTGGTGTACAGGTGTCGTTTCATTTTCAAAGGTAAAAGAAACCTTACACTTTTCTTTTACCAAAGCTTGAGAGTTGCTTGATAGTTTGTAGAAAGAGCTACTGCCCGCGATGATACTGAAATTCTCTGCTCTGTGTACAAAAGTTACACAATTGTACCAAAGAATGAGCAGTATCCAGTGCTTGTTATGTCCCATTCTGTGGCTTCATTGCTAACCACAATTACCCCACCCTTCCCCTTTTTTTGTTTCTCTCCTTTCTTTGTTTTCATGTCTCTAGCGCCACCTAGCTCCCGAAACGTTCTTTGACATCTTCGGTATGGAGATCCAGGAATTTGACAGGCTTCCTCTGTGGAAACGCAACGACATGAAAAAGAAGGCCAAACTCTTCTAGCATGATTTACTGTACATTCACCCGGATAGCACACGGCAACTGTAAAAACTAAACTAAATCTAGATGTTATAGGATTTTGGGTTGATTTTTTTACTTTTTGTTTTGTTTTCCTGGACATATTTGAGGAAGCCATGCCACCTTTTCTCTCCAGATACTTCCCAAGAACTTT